TCCTGCCTCAGCCTCCTGAGTATGGGCATTACAGGCATGCGCCACCACACCCAGCTGGGAAAGTATGATTTTTATTTTCATGTTTCCTTCCATTAATAATGATAGGATCATAAAGTTATGTAATTTTATAGAGACTTTGCAGAAGATTGAAGAGAGTCAACATGGATTTCTTTTTCTCTGTGTCCCTTTTCTTTGTCTTGTCAGATACGGTTAAGGGACTCTGTTGGAGTGGGCCTTTGCGTGGCTGTCATAAGGTGAATAATAGGGCGGCTTCGTGGCCATGCTTCTGGGATGTGTAAAGCAGAAACTGCTTAGCTCTTGTGCTGCAGGGAGCAGCTGCTGGTGTAGCGGGAAGTAGGCAGGCTGTGCACACGTAGACAGGCAGGCTGGGTCCCGTGGTTCTTTTTTGTTTGTTTGTTTTTCTTCCGGTACTAGGAATCGAACTCATGACCTTGCGCTTGCTGGGCAGGTGCTGTGCTGCTGAGCTAAATCCCATGGTTCTGATGGGAGGCGCCCCGTGACTGAAGGATGGCAGGCCTGTGTTCTAACCCCTCCCTGACCAGAGTTGCATATGTAGGACCCAGACAGGACGGAGCTCATCTCTAGCACATTTTCCTTTTAAGTTTCATTTTGAGATAGGAATTCACTCAGTTGCCTAGGCTGGCCTCAAACTGTGACCTTCCTTGGCTTCCTGAGTAGCCAGGATTACAGGGATGTGCTACTGTGGCTGGCTAAAATGTAAGAGCTTACAAGTTCTTCAGGAGGCCTCTTTTTTTTTCCCCCTGGTTTTTTGAGACAGGGTCTTGATATGTAGTTCAGGCTGGCCTTGAACTTACTATGTAGCCCAGGCTAGCCTGGAACTTGCAGCAGTTCTCCTGTCTCAGCTTCCTGAGGGCTGGGATTACAGGTGTGCACCACCCTGCCTGGCCCTGATTACTCTTTGTGGTAGAACTAGACAGAAAGTCTTAATTTTCTAATGTTTTCTGTTCCTTTATACTGGTTTAACTCTTCAGCCGTAATCTTCATGTTCTTTGGAACAGATTAAATATTTCATACTTCATGTCAGGAGAAACATCTGCACTCTGTTGCTTGTATGAACTGTGGTTCTCACTTACTGCAGGAAGGGTAGATTGCACTGAGATTTGCAGACATGTCTTTCTAGTTTTATGTAAAGGGCTGAAAAATGAACTGCTGAAGTTACTTACTACTTGACAAACCATCATCAACCTTAAGGTCACTATCTAAAAGAGAGCTTAGCTTTCTAAAGTCACCTAAACTTCCCTACACGTAAGTTAGGCGCTGAAATCTCATTTTGGGTGGTACTGGGTCCTTTCAACTCGGCTTCTGCTGACAGGTTCCGCCCAGCCTCTGGCTGTGGAATTGGTTCATTCTTAGTCTTAGGGGAATAGAAGTCAGAGTGGAAGGGAAAGTTCATCACACTGCACAGTGCTCGTGAAGAAGCTGAGTTGTGATTCTGTCAGTTTGTGGTGAGACCTTGTGCTCTGCATGTCTGTCACAGGGAGAAGAAGAGTTTGATATGCCCCAGCCTCCACCCGGCCACGTCTTGCATCGCCACATGAGAACAATCCGCGAAGTGCGCACCCTCGTCACCCGTGTCATCACAGACGTATACTACGTGGACGGAACGGAAGTGGAGAGGAAAGTCACTGAGGTAACACTCCGGGTCTGTGTGAGGTGTCTTTCTGTGGGAGAGTCGCCTCGGCTTTCTGCCTCTCACCTGCTTTCCTGTTCTGCTAGCTATGAACACTTTGTTCCCTTACTTTTTTTTTCAGGAAAAGATGTAAGAACTGGGTTAGAAAAGAGCAGTTCTGTATTCTGTTTTCCCCCCGCCATGGGCTTGCTGTTTGACCTTTGGTCAGTCGTCTTGTGTTCATTTTCTGCAGAGAACAGATTGGTGAATCTCTGGAAATCTCTCGTATATACAATTTTTATATATGTTATGTCCGTAGACATGGAAATGATGTGTGGAGCTCTCTGTTAGGTGCACGTTTTCTCTTTGCTTCTCTGGTGTATCTTCACGTCTGCACATGGTGTTCTTCCTGACCTCTGCCCACGGGGGGAGGACCTGTTGGTAAGAGCTGACCTTTGTTTTTTCAGTGGGATCTGTCACGGGCTCATTTCCAATGTCAGCGTCTTATTGGCATTTATTGACTATTGTTAATAGCATTGTATGCTGATGTCGTTTTATTTTCTGGAATTGAAGAGCTGGGATCTTTGCTGTACATGTGTTAGGATCTGGGACCTTTTTACTCACTGAGAAGAGGCACAGCTGTTGTCTTCTTTTTTTTTTTCCATCTCCTTGACCCAGTTTTGTGAAATTCTGCCATGGAAGAGGTTGTGCTCAGGAAGAATTAAACTCTGATTGATAGTTATATTAAGTGGAACCTATTATTTCTGTTTAATGAGGGACCTTCTGGCTTTCACATTAGATAATATTTGATGTTTGAGAAATTTTCTTTTTTCTTCATTATATATCAAATCTTGGAAATATTTTTTTAAAGTAATTGATTTGTCTTCACTTTTTAATGTTTCAAAAGCATTTTTGTTGGGGAATTTTTTTCATGTTATTATAATTTTGGAAACTTTAGGGACTTTATTGCAAAAGAATTTTCCTTCATTAAAAAATTTTGTAACTGTTGTAGTCCACATTGTACTCTGTGGCAGGTATAATATATTGAATATTAAACATATCACTTCATATAATACTTGATATGGTGGCTTCTAAAGTATTTTTCTGCTGAGTGTGGTGGTGCATGCCAGTAATCCCAGCACTTGGGAGGCTGAGGCAGGAGGATTGCCACGAATTCAATGCTAACCTGTGCTATATAGTGAGTTCAAAGCTAGCCTGAACTACATAGCAAGATCCTGTCTCAAAAACCCAAATAAATAAATACATTTACTTCTTTAAAAAAATAAAGTATATTTCTGGAAATAGCAGTCCTTTTAAATAGTTGTCTGTGGGTGGGGGTTAGAGTTCCATAGTCATGAGTAATTTTGCGGTTAAATTGTGCTAACACCGTTACCACCATGGAAATTCAGATATTATCACATTAAAGGTTCTGTGAAATCCTCTAGTAAATATTCATGTTTTATTATTTAACCTGGCACTTACCAAACGTAACTTGACTATTGCACATTGGTTAAAGTAATGTCTGTCATATGCCTGTACACCAGACTTCGCCTTTTACAGTGTTGAGGACCAAGCCCTGGGCCTTGCACATGGTAGGCAAGTTCTGTACCACTGAGCCGCCCCCAGCCCTATAGATTATACTTTGGGAAACACTACCATCATTAAATAAAATAATAGAGACTGTTTATAGCACTTACTATGTACCAGGAATTATTAGACGAACTTTAGTGAATTAAGTTCACAATGGTGCTACGAGGTAGACAGCGTCATTAGTCTCAGTTTGCTGATGAGGAAACAAGAGGCATAGCAAGGTGAAATAATTTGCCTAAAGTTAAACAGTCAGTAAACAGAGATGAGAATTGAACTCACTGGAAGGGAATTTCGATGAAGTCTTTTTGAGAGTGAAGATAACATTGGAGTGGGACACTTAGAGGTCTTTAGTACTGTGAGATAAGGGAAGGAGCTTGGGAGCAGAGGCTCCTCTAGGCCCAGAGCACACAGAAGCAGCCTGGTGCAGGCAGCGTGTTCAGAAGTGTGCCGGCTGTAGAGGGGGATGGGTGGGGCCAGAAGACTCAGGGAAGTACCCGGAAGTACAAAGCTATCCATGTTCCGAGGAGAAGAAACAGCAATAAAGAACAGCTTCTTCCCTTATCTCTTGTAACCCTTGTTTCTTTTAAAGCTTGTATTTATCTGTTTGCCTGCAGTTTCTTCAGTTTTTTTTTTTATGTTGCCAGCCCTGTGGCAGACTCCGGGGCTACAGAAATAGAGGCCTGCAGGTGACAGGCACCAAGCCCAGGCCACCCTCGTTGCTGTAGTGGAGGTGCGGCAGGGCGTGCTGGGCCAGGTGGTGGGCAGCAGGGCTGTCAGCCTCACGGGTGTGGGGCTGAGGGCTGCGGCAGGAGGGTGTTGCAGCCTGAAAGAATAGAACAGTGACAGCTCGGTTATCAGCGCAGTCACGAGAAGGCGCAGGGTCAGGAATGGGGAGAGAGGGTGCTGTCAAGGTTGGTAATGGCCGGGAGCGTAAAGGGCTTTGTGTACAGAAGAAAAAAGGTTGGATGATTTTGATCTTTTGCATGATGGGAAACTTTGCAGAATTTTGGGGAAAGGGAGCTACTGTGAGAGAGAAGGTAAGACACTGGTTTGAGAGAGAAGTTCCTACATTTATTTAGTAAAAATTTATTGAGGGGCTCATTTCTCTCCGCAGTACTGGGAATGGAGCCCAGGGCCTCTGCACTGAGTTACATCTCCAGTCCTTTTTTGAGTCTTACAAGAGCTTTATTAACTTATCCAGGCTGGGCTTGAATTTGTGATCCTCCTGCTTCACCCTCCCAGAGTACTGGGGTTACAGGCCTGTGCTGCCAGGTCCAGCTGAGGGCCTCATTGTGAAAGGTACTAAGCTAGATTTTGGGAATGGATCTGGAGAAAAAAGATGGTCAGGATCTTTGTCTTCATGTCGCCCATGGAGGAAGCACAGGAACACGAGTAAACAAACACATTGAAAAGACCACACCAGGCTGACTTAGGGCCTGGGCCTTGCTGGTGCTAACAGTAGCAGCCGTGGCTCCTGGACTGTTGCACGGGGGCGGGAGGCTGGCTCTCGCCCTTTGGGTCTGCTTTCCCACTGAAACGCAGCCTCAGGACCCTACCCATGGCTGTGTTGTAGAGGAAGTTGACTGCAAGTCTGGAAGCAGGAGGCCTGCCGCAGTCACGTGACCCTGCCACTTGTGCGCACTTAGATCCAGTCAGAGCTGCTCACTGGATGATAAGGTGATTGGAGAGTGGCACATTTATGACGGACACTCTGGAGGGGTACAGTAGTGACCCTGGAATTGTGGCTGGAGTCATGTAGAGGCAAATCTTGTTGGTAATTAGCTCAAGAGATTTCGAAGTTGCCAAATGAATCGCCTCATATCAGCCACTGGCAGTGCTGGTAGAAGCGGGGTGGGGACAGCAGTGAGGGTCTGAACCTCAGGTTAAGTTCTTCAGGCATGAGAGTGATTCGGGGTGTTAGTGGGTAACGAGCACAGTTTAAGAGAATAGTGGTTTGGTAGCAGCAGGAGGGGAGACCGACACACTCTGTCCATGGCAGACTCTCGTGGGGACTTGGTTGAAAGAAATCAGTGTTCCCTAAAGAGAGCTTCTGGGGTTGGGAAATGCACTGGGGATCTAGGGTTCTTTGAAGACAAATAGGGACAGCATCGTTTATTTTGGGTTGTGTTGCAGTTTCAGCTGTTTGCTGGTTGGCTCTAAAATTTTCCCCACTAAGCCCAGGGGTTAGCCTCTGACAGCTTCTTTTTGTTTTTTTGAGACAGGATCACGCTATATAGTTCAGGCTGGTCCCGAACTCATTTTGTAGCCCAGGCGGGCCTTGAATTCACAGCAGTTGTCCTGCCTCAGCCTCCCAACTGCTGGGATTAAAGGCGTGCGCCACTGCACCTGGCTCCTACAGCTTCTTAAATCCGAGCTCTAGGCAGCCATGACGACCTATCAAAGTGGGGCATGTGAGAGGAAGCCAGTTTGACATATTATGTCTATATATGCTGAAAACTCTCATACTTTATTACCTTTCTGGTCTTCATTTTCCCAAGTAGCAATACCACTTTTAGTCTGTTTTTGCCCGTGATTTTCTGTTTTCTTGACTTATTGAAAGGTAATATAAAGTCACCAATTGGAAAACACGTTGTGCTGCCTGCCTGCTGTTAATGAAGTACTCAGGAGGCTCCTAAAAGCACTCATTTTCCCTTTCAGTCTACCTGCCTCCTTACCCTGCTTCTCTTCACCAGGGTGTCTTCTGGGTTCGGGGCCTTGCTGACAGCCAAAGGTTGTTAAGTTGACCTGGGAAAAGAGAATTTAACCTAGCTTGGTATGGAGGTTTCCCTCTTCTCAATCTTTTACTACCTTTACTTTTTACTGAGATATCATATATCCCCAGTAGAATGAATAGATCTTCAGTGTTCAGGTTAGTGGATTTTGACATTGCTTATCTTCGGTTTTTTGAGATTGGGCTCAATTCACTCTGGCCTCAAACTTGCAGTCTGCCTGCCTCAGCTTCCCAAGTATCTGGGATTGCAGGGCTTTTGCACTTCTGTGTAACACCTATTCAAAGTAGGAACATTTCCATTATTCTAGAAAGTTTCCATCTTTCTGAGTTGAAATTGTCTTGTCATCTGTAGAATTTTCCTACCGTCACTGTAACATTATGTTAACGTGATCTCTTTTAGCTTCTTTTTCCATTTCTTCCCGCAGGAGACCGAAGAGCCAATTGTAGAGTGCCAGGAGTGTGAGACTGAAGTGTCCCCCTCGCAGACGGGGGGTTCCTCAGGTGATCTGGGGGATATCAGCTCCTTCTCTTCGAAGGCATCCAGCTTGCATCGCACATCGAGCGGGACAAGTCTCTCAGCCTTGCACAGCAGTGGCAGCTCAGGGAGAGGAGCGGGACCACTGAAGGGGAAAACCCCTGGGACAGAACCGACAGATTTTGCTTTACCCAGCTCCCGCGGAGGCCCAGGAAAACTGAGGTGCAGACATGGCTCCAGAGAGAGCCACAGTAGGGGCAGGGTTGCTGAGATTTTAATATCACAAAAAAAGGGGAGTGATGGGAAACCCTTTCCTGTCCAGGATAAAGCAGCCTCGCTTTCTCGTTTGTTCCCCTCCCGGTTAGGGTCGGTATGGGAGGAGTCCTGTGGGAAGTAGATGTGTTGTCAAAGGAGCCCCTGAAAAACTGTTAAAAAAAAAAGGTGAGGGGACTTGGGGAATGCAGGGCACATGCTCCTACCACCCCACTGTTCTGCTATGTGTACATGTTTTTGTCGGGCAGACAGGAAGTTTGGGGTGATGGCCCCAACCTGATGTATCTCCTAGCTTTTTTTAGCTACCTCAGAAGTTGAACTAGAGGGCAGAAATGAGTGTGCTATGTTTGAGGGCAGCGATAGGAAACTTCGTCAGGCGCCAATAGTCTTTCATACAGGAAGATGTCCTTACTATCCCATACTGCTGCCCTGTGGGCCTAGCGCATGTAGCCTGGCATGTGGTCTGAGGGTCCTGGGCAGAAAGAATGCAGTAGCAGGGACTGTCAGACTGACCTGTCTTTATTCTCTAGTCCTAGAAAAGGGATCAGTCAGACAGGAGCACCAGCGTGTGAGGAGGACGGTGATGCAGGCCTTGGTGCCCGACAGGGAGGGAAGGCTCCAGTCACACCTCGCGGGCGCGGGCGAAGGGGCCGTCCGCCCTCTCGGACCACTGGAACCAGGTACCCGGCTTGTGTGAGAAATGTGCAGCCTATGACTTGTTCATAAAATAAATGGTGATTACGTGGGTGTCAGGAGGCAGAAGACGGTCCCATACTGACTGGGGACCAGGCAGAGGTCAAAGGAAGGCCTGTGATGGGGATAACAGAGCTGGCTAAAGAGACACGTGGCCAAAAGAGTGGGAAAATGGAGGTGTGTGCTTCTGTCTTCTTAGTCTTGTTGCTTTCTGTTTCTTACCTCTCTTTAGAGAAACAGTTGTACCTGGCCCGCTGGGCATAGAAGACATTTCACCCAGCATGTCGCCAGATGACAAATCCTTCACCCGAATTTTGCCCCGCGTACCCGACACTGCTAGAAGAGATGTGGGTGCTGGTGCTTTGCGACGTAGCGACTCTCCAGAGATACCTTTCCAGGCTGCTGCTGGCTCCTCGGATGGCTTAGATTCCTCTTCTCCAGGGAACAGCTTTGTAGGGCTCCGCGTTGTAGCCAAATGGTCATCCAATGGCTATTTTTACTCTGGAAAAATCACGCGAGATGTCGGAGCTGGGAAATACAAATTGCTTTTTGACGATGGGTATGAGTGTGACGTGTTGGGCAAAGACATTCTCCTGTGCGACCCTATCCCGCTGGACACTGAAGTGACTGCGCTGTCAGAGGATGAATATTTCAGTGCAGGTAATAAAAGAAGCAGTCCCAAGAGTCCTGTGTCCTGGGGCTGTTAACACTGCTCCCTGTGATTACCAAGACATCCTTCCACTCGCTGCTTTTTTGGTCTGAAGTCAGAGATTCCGTTTCTGCAACATTGGTTACTCTTGCTGCTGGCTTTTCTGTTTGATTCATGATTTCGAATAAACTTTTTATTTTGGAATAACATTAGACTTGTAGACTATTTGCAGTGTGCACAGTGCCGCCAGTACAGAGAGTTCCTGTGTATGTCTCACCTCATTTTCCCTGTTCTTAGTATCTTAATTTAGCATGGTACGTTTGTCAAAACTAAGAAACCAATTTTAATTCCTTAGGATTAACTCCAGACATGATTTGGATTTCACTGGATTTTCCTTTTTCTGTTCCAGGTTCTCATCCACACCCCATTTAGTCGTGATGTTTTGGTCTTGCTTGAGTTTTGGCAATTTTTTTTTTTTTTTCATGACTTTGACAGTTATTTTCTTAACTTGACATCTTTGAGAAATACTGGTCAGACAGCTATAGAACGTTCCTCAGTTTGGGTTGGTTGAATGTTTTCTTGCTGGCCTGGAGTTACGGTTTTTCAAAAGAACACAGAGGTGCCGTGCCTTTCCCGTGTCACGTGGGGGCTGAGGAGGCTGCTGGCGTCTGCAGCGTGTCACCGGTGCTCGCCGGTCAAGGTGGTGGTCTCCCTGTTTCTCCATTTGAAATGTTACTGTTTTTCCTTACACATTCTGTTCTCTCTCACTGACTTTTTAACTTACTGTGTGCTTTGCGGGCCACAGGAGTGTGGCGGGTCCAGAGGTCCTGTGGAGTAGGCAGAGGTGGTTAGTGCTGTTTGCATGTCTGACAGCCACTTACTTTTTGGTTGGAGGAACAGTGCTTCCCTTACTTGGAATTGGTGAGGGCTTTTGAGTGTTTTATTGTTCTGTGTGCTAGTTCTTTGACTATAATATACTTGCCTTTCCATGAATGAATTTGAAAATATCTACTTGGTGTTGATTTTGATATTTGTCCTCCTTCCTGGGGATTTTTTGAAAGTAGATTTTGGGGTACTGGGGACAAGCGTGTGTTTCTGTTGCCGTTTTGAGGCGGCTGTGTGGACTGCCCCGAGGAGTCGCTGTCTGTGTAAACTGTCTGGATAACACCATCAGCTTTGGGTGGCATCCATAGGAGCAGCACAAGCAGTGGGTTTTTTTATGACCTGGGGTTTATAGTTTGTACGCAATGCGTTAGTTTTTCTTTTAAGGATAGAGCCACTCTTAGAGGTCCACATGGGGCCCTTTGAGCCAGACAGTTCGGTATCCCAGGGTAGGGATTCTGTGTTCTCCTCCCTGAGGTTGTCTACTAACATCAGCGCCGTAATCTTTCTAGTTTTAGTAGCTCTTAATTAGTGTTTTGTGACCGTGGGTTTCTTGTCCTTTTGCGATGGTCATTGTGGTGTAGTGTGGTGATCGAGATGAAAACTAGAGATGAACACGTGAGGGGAAAGAGATGACTGTGTGACAGCAAAGAACAGCTCCTGCTTTCTCCTCTGTTCTTTCCTTGGTAAGGTATCTTGGTGTGTTTTAGTTCTTCATTCAGGCAGAGGCACGTAGGTGAGATGAATGAAAGAAGGTGAATAGTACGCCTGTTGCAGGTATTGTGTGCATACTGTAAATTCTTCACTGATTAGTACAGGAAAATAAAAAGTTTCTTTCACAGTCTTCACACAGTCATTTGGCAAACTGAGGCTGAGGCGGAGGCCTGCTTAACTCTAGCCCAGTGTCCTTTCAGGCCTCACAGTGTTTCTGGAACGTAAAGGCCTTCTCTTTGGGTTCTGAGTCAGAGTGCGAGTAGGGACACAGATAATAGAAAGGGTAGATAAGCTAAAGAACAGGATCTTTGTGTTCCCCTTTTTTGCTCTAGATCTCTATTCTTATTTCCTCACCCAACAAACAACCATATACATGTTCTATTAGAATGAATGTCATTTTTCACTACCACTTAATTGAAGTCTTATGCTTAGCATCCAGCGAACCCCTGCCACGTCACTCCAGGGGAACCGCTTGCAATACCGTCTGTAAGGCTGGCCTCAGGAAGCTTTAAGTTATTGTATAATTAAATACTGCCTCCTGTTGGGGAACCTTTCTTGTCCCAACCCCGGAGTAGTAGCTGTGTGTGTCCTGAGTGTTACCTTTTGGGACTGACACCCTAGATTCTGTTACATTCTAATTTGTAGCCCACCAATGGATCTCTGAACTCCCTGACTCTGGTCTGTCTCCAGAGTGGGTGCTACACAGCCTAAAACAACAGCAGGCTTTTATGTTTTTATTCCCAGGAGTGGTGAAAGGACATAGGAAGGAGTCCGGGGAGCTGTACTACAGCATTGAAAAAGAAGGCCAAAGGAAGTGGTATAAGCGAATGGCTGTCATCCTGTCTTTGGAACAAGGAAACAGACTGAGAGAGCAGTATGGGCTTGGTCCGTACGAGGCAGTGACGCCGCTCACAAAGGCGGCAGACATAAGCTTAGGTAAGACCTTGCCATGTGAGTGGTGCCAGTGACCCCCTCTACATTTGAGGGAAGTTTGTAGAGCAACCGGTGACTTTTCCCTATCTCTCACTCCTCCATGTGGCTCATCAGAGAGAGAACTGTCACTTTGTAGACGACTGCCTTACCTGTTTGCTTCCTAGGACCAGATAGGAAGTCTTTAGGGGTTTTCTGGTCTCCCCAGTTCTATAGGGTACCAAACACATCTCAGTTATGGCAAAGATTGGAACAGGAAATACTGCTTTAAAAAGAGACTTTCTGCCCCTCTGGGAGAAGGGAGGAAAGTACCCGTGGTTTCTAGATCAGACTCTGCCCTGCGCTTTGGAGTTCAGGGCCTCCAGCCCCCTGATTTGACACACTTTGACTTATCGTACTGTAGACAACTTGGTGGAAGGTAAGCGGAAACGGCGCAGTAACATCAGCTCCCCAGCCACTCCTACTGCCTCCAGCAGCAGCAGCACAACCCCTACCCGGAAGGTCACGGAAAGTCCTCGGGCCTCCATGGGAGTCCCGTCAGGCAAAAGGAAACTTAACACTTCAGACGAGGACCGGTCCCCTGCCAAGCGAGGCCGGAAGTCTGCCACTGTGAAGCCCGGTGAGTGCTTCCTTTCATGGCTTTCTCCCTCAGACCATGGCAGAATGACGGGTCGGCTGTTGGGAAAATGGAGCCTAATACATGACAACAGCTCCTCTGTCGTGGCTGTAGAGTTGGGGGCTCATAAGCCATAGATAGCACCCAGTTTACCATAACCCCTGCCCCCTTGTCCTCTGAGCAGCGTCCAGTGGGGTTAGACAGACTATGACTTGTTCACACTCACTAACTGCTGTGTAGGTTGTAGGAGGGAAGGGCGGGCTGAATTTCCAGAAGAATCAAAACAGGTACAATGTGTCTTGCCTGCCCCATCTCAGTTTCCTAGAAACTTTGCGCTTCTCTCTCTGATGTCCAGGCTTTCTCATGAAAGGTGGTGCTCTAGCCGCCTGTGCTTCTCCTCGCTGTCCTCCAGGCAACCGCTTTCCCGTTGCTCACATCCGGTGTTCGGAGGCAGCCCGTTGGTTATGGAGGCTCTACCATGACCCAGACCCAGCTGCTCTGGGTTCTGGAGATGGAGGCAAAGTCCTCGCCTTCTGCCCCCTGCTGACATGCTGCTGTGACTAGGATCTAGCGCCAGAGTCCTTTTGTTTCCAGTGTGCGTGATGTCAGTCTGACAGCTGCAGTGTTTTGCTGCATTTAAAGACATCTTTACTGCATATTTACAGCGTGAGGCATGGAACCTGATTGCTGCATACATATTATTTCATGTGTGATCTCTTGACATATAGCTGCTAGATTTTGTTTTCCAGTGGAGGAATCTGAGGCACAGAAATGTTGTTTAACTTTCCCAAGGTAACAAACTAAGTCAGGATTCAAACTCAGACAGTCTTGACTTGGAATCCAGCTGTGTGTGCATGACCATCACTCTGCCTCTGAGACTGTTCTTTTGCCGCTGGTTTTGTTGTAGGGAGGCATGCATGACCTGGCTGTCATCTTAGCCTCCTAGCGAGCCCATGATTCAGCTCCTCCGGGTCAGGTACCGTTTTCTTCTCAAGGACTCACTGGGGCACTTCTAGCGTGGGTTTTCTGGGAGTCCTGGACTGGCTGGGTCACTTAGCTACTCAGGTGTTGGAACGTGGGCAGCAGAGGCAAGGTATTGTGGTGTCGTTTCCACGTAAAAGCACTTGGTTACTGAGTACTCTGCATCACTGCTCTGAAGATCAAAGCTGAGGTGGGGAATCTTCCTTTTACAATTCTTGGTAATGAATGTTTTGTTGGCTGGGGGGCGGCTATAATTTTGTTTTTGTTTTTTTTTTATTTATTTATTTATTTATTTATTTTTGGTTTTTCTCCGGTACCGGGAACCGAACTCACGACCTTGCGCTTGCCAGGCAGGCGCTTTTGCCGCTGAGCTAAATCCCCAGCCCCTTTGTTTTTGTTTTTTAAAGACTGCTTCAAAATACCACTTATCCAGGGCTGGGGATTTAGCTCAGTGGCAAAGTGCCTGCCTGGCAAGCGCAAGGTTGTGAGTTCGGTTCCCAGTACCAGAGAAAAACCAAAAAAAAAAAAAAAATACCACTTATCCTTGGGGGAACCCAAGCACTGGGCAGCATGAGTGGCCTGAAGATTTCCAAACACTTTTTACTCTTTAACTGTTTATCTCTTACTTCAGATGGCCTGGAAAGTTTTAGAAGTATTGGGTTTGGCTACGGAAAGTAATACTAGTTGTTTTTCATTTATGGAAATACACTGTATATTGTTAGGACTATAAATTGTAAATTTCTCTTCATTTTAACTCAGTTCTAGGTTGTTGGCCATTTCCAGTGATTGGCCATGGTAATGGTCTTTGGGTCATAGCTCAGAAAAGCTCATCAGGGCATGGCTTGTGCACCCATCAGGTGCCAGGGCCTTTTCCAGAGAGTGGTCTGTGTTGTTCTGGTAACCGTGTTTTGTCTGTCTCAGGTGCAGTCGGGGCAGGAGAAACTGTGAACCCCTGTGAGAGCGGAGACAACATAGCTGAACCCTCTGTCCTGGAAGAGCAGAGGGGGCCTCTGCCACTCAACAAGACCTTGTTTCTGGGTTATGCCTTTCTCCTCACCATGGCCACAACAAGTGACAAGTTGGCCAGCCGCTCCAAACTACCAGATCTCCCTACAGGAAGTAGTGAGGAAGAGGAAGGTAAGGTCCTAGGAAGCCCGCGGAGCTGACACGTGTACTTGCTTCCTTTCCACTCACTTTGGGCTGTTGGTCCCCTGGAGAAGGGGCACCTGGGATCTTAGTCAAGGAAGTGAAAATTAGTTTCACTTCCTGGTTTATAGACTTCTTTCCCAGAATTCCTTAATGATCGGTACCTCAAAATAATCCTAGTGGGCAGATGGGAAAAGGATTTTTTGTCATCCATCTTATGTACCTTTTTGTCTGCAATAATGGTGGAGTTGAGGTTTAGAACCCACAGCTCATTTTACCTTCTTACAGCCATCAAAGTCACCCAGGTTTCTGAATGTCCTGCTGCTGTCCCCATTTGTGTTTCAGAAGTAACTGTCATAGGGGAAGCTCACATGGAGGCTGAGCTTCGTTCTCTTGAAGTGGGAATGTAAGACTGGGAATGTGGGGTGTAGGGTGCCCAGTACCACATAGTAGTTTGGGAAATTAACTTCTAGGCTGTTTTAACTCTTGAACCTCTCATCAGCGTTAAGCTAAATCTATATATTTGCATTTCTTTGTTGTCTGTTACTTTGTGTCTTGAGTGAGAGCTGATGTGAGGAGGGCAAAATTGAGTTCATTGGTCTGAAAAACACGTGATCTAGGTGAGAATAAGCAGACACTGAGTGTCAGTAATACCCAGATACATCTGTGGCCGTATGTCAAGGCCACAGGGCCAGAGGGGATGCTGCGGACTCCACAAGCAGGAGTGCTGACTGATGCTGTGTTGTGCAAGAGGGAGTTGAAATTTGGGAGTGTGGTTGTCATAAAATAACACCACTGATGATCTGTGCTGCCATTTTAGGGGTGTGGCCAGCTGTTTCCTAATTAGCCAGAACCTCTCCCCACAGCAGCCCTGTAGAGATGTGCCTAAAGACATGGGCAGAGTGGTCAGGGAGTTGCAGTGAAGGTCGATGCTGTGCGGAAGGTGCAGGGGAAGATGATGTGAGTGGAGATGCTGTGGCTCCGGGGAGTGAGCTGCAGAAGCGGGTGAAGTACATGTGGGATGTCACCTGTTCTGTGAGCAAAGCCTAATTTGTCAACAGAATTCAAACGGGTATAGGGGGAGATAAACAGTGTATGTGAGGAGTTCCCTTGGGAAGGGTTGACTTTGATCATAAATATGTGGGACGTCCCTTGAGGATTCTTTGTAGAAATATGTAATGCTGTTGAAACAAATACTGGCGCCTTTGCTTTCTTTTTGCTTTCATAATGTCTGACAAACCGCTAGCCTTCCCGAAGGAAGCACTTCACAGCACAGCTCTCTAGATGCTGTATTGGTACAGCTTTATCAAAAAGCTCTGTGGTATGAGACGGGGGCTGAAAAATCTGTGTGCCTGTGTGAGACCTAATAAACTCTCCTCACAAAAATTAAATGAGGAATTTGGACAAAATTTTTTAAAGGATCTCCCAGGTTTTTGGTAGAAAGTGTGCTTATATGAAATGTGTGCGCTGTATGTCAGTCCCAGCAGCACCAGGGTTGGTAGTTTTGGTATGAGAATGCTTAAGGGCATTTCCATCTCGAGGCTGAAGACATCAGTACTAAAACAACCCTCTGCTGATTTCCTTTTTAAGAAACTGTATGGTAGATGTTACAGATAGACGGGAATTCTTAGGTGCGAGTTTATACTGGAAGATGGTAAGTAGTTAAGTCCACCTTAGGAGACATTATTTATTAATGCATTTAGGAGTATGACAGGGAGAGAGGGCACTGAAGGGTGAGCATCTCTGGAGGGGGCGGGCTGAACCAGCTTCCCCATAGGGCCCGGCATCGAGCTTTATGTGCTGGGTTGGGCTTTTTATTTTTGATAAAATTTTAGTTAATTAGAGCTTAATTCCCCAGAATGCCTCATTAAAATCTCTAATGAATTTTCTTTTTAATGTGTTACTTATATATGAGATGAACAGATGACAAAATAAGCTCAAATTAGATATTTAGTCAAGAGAAGCAGTGTCTAGTTGCTAGGGTCATTACAGCTTCAGCTTCATCTCATACCTTCTCCTTCACCCTCAAGACCAGAACAGTCATGGTGTTCCGTGTTGTGTGGTCTTCCAGGATCATCAACGGTAGATGGTTTTCCATGAAAGTTTGAAGCATGATTCATCTTTACTTAGTTATGTTTTTAAAAATGCTACTTTGTGCTTTCTGGTTTATCAAAGTTTTAGTGTACAATGGGTACAGAAAGGCTTGAGTGGGAATTTGAAGGCTTATTATATACAAAAGGTGATCATCAGTCGATGTTCATCTCCAGAGAAGGCAGAAGTAGAACAGGGTTTAGTTTGCAGCAGGAAAGATTTAGGGTGGACACAGCAGAGCTTCCTGATGGTCCAGGTTATGTCCCTGAGAAGTGGTTGTATTCTCCTGGCTAAGACTTCCGTGCAACCATTGGTGTTGTCAGGTCTAGGACCTGCGTTCACCCTCCTCTTCCCATCCTTCCTCGTGTCCCTTCGTGTGGCCTCACGGCAGATTTCTGTCTGAGCTGTGGGGAGACCCTTGACCTGTCGGGGACACACTGCTCAGGAGATGGGTAGGGAGTAGGAAAGGGGGCAGTAAGATGTAGTTGCACAGCAGAGGATCCCAACTCAGTAATTTTTATCTTGGTTATATTTTTTGTGTTTTTTAATACAGAATTTTTAGAAATTCCTCCTTTCAACAAGCAGTACACAGAGTCCCAGCTTCGAGCAGGAGCTGGCTATATCCTTGAAGATTTCAATGAAGCCCAGGTGAGGCATTTTTTCGTGTAGATACCTTGAGGGGTGATATTAAAAGCCTCGTTTCTGCACCGAGAACTTTGAAAGTTTGGATAAAGTAGCTAGAGGCTTTAGGAGCCCAGGAGTGGTCAGAAAGTTGTTGCACGAAATAATTTTTTATCGTGTACAAGATGTTGAAACTATAGGTTAGCTAATGGCTATGGTTCTGCTGCTGGGACATAAGCAGATTGAAATTTATGTTAAGTAGGAATTCCTGGGCCAGTGATGTAGCTCAGTGGTGCAGTGTCTGCCTGGTAAGCTTGAGGTCCTGAGTTTGATTCCCAGTATCAGGAAAAAAAAAAAAAGTTCCTATTAGTGTTAGTGTTGCAGATTCTTAGCCTGAAAGGCAGAGTACATGGCTTTGCTTGTCCATTGAGGCCTGAGGCCCTCAGAAAGCTACAAGCGAGTCGGACAAAATGTCTAGGGGAGTAGCAGCGAACATATAGCATGCGTGCCATAGCAGGGTGTTTATATCACTGAAAGCTCTAGAAGGTTCCCCGTCACTGGTCTCAGGAAAGTCTGAGGCTTTCCTGAGTCAGAAAAACAGCCTAGGGCACAAGGACAGACTGAACTCACATTGAGTTGGTACAGATACGGTTCTCTATAGTTTTACTAGGGCTGCTATTCATGAACTTTCCAGACATCCCCAGACCCTTTCTTTCTAGTGCAACACAGCCTACCAGTGTCTCCTAATTGCTGATCAGCACTGTCGAACCCGGAAGTACTTCCTGTGCCTTGCCAGTGGGATTCCTTGTGTGTCTCATGTCTGGGTCCATGACAGCTGCCATGCTAACCAGCTCCAAAACTACCGTAATTATCTGTTGCCAGCTGGGTACAGCCTTGAGGAGCAAAGAATTCTGGATTGGTGAGTATTTAGGAGTCTATCTAGAGCTCAACAGATACAGTAGAAAGTGAGCTTTTGGAAGGAGATGCTAAGTGAGAATACATGTTTAGAAACTGCAGTGTCTGTAGGATAAAAATCACAGAATTTGAAATGATTTCAGAATCAGGTGGGTTTTTTTTTTTTTTTTTTTGTCTTTTTGAGACAGGGTCTCACTGTGTAGTTTAGGCTGGCCTCGAACTCAGTGATCCTTCTGCCCCAGCCTCCTGAGTGCTGGGATTACAGGCCTGCGTGTGCCACCATGCCCAGCTAGTTATTTTATCCCAAAATTTCCATTTTAAGGAAGGATTTTGTGAAAATGTGCAAGGATTTATATGTAGATCAAGTATTCCCAACCTTTAAGTATGGGAAGCTAAGTTTCAAGCAAGCATTTAAAAAGACAAAACAAAGCTCAGGAACATGATTTGGTTAATTCTCAGCCCCTGGACAAACACGGAAATCAGAATAATAGATCAGAAGGCAGGGATCCCAGAAACTACACCTCGCTCACAAAAAGAGAAGGAGGGTGGCGGCCCTGAAAACGAGGCTTCCCAAGCACTCTGATGCGCGATACCCTTTACAGAGGACTGTGTGCTGGGTGTATCTGTTACTCTCAGGTCCTTTCCAATTCCAAAGGGCTGTGTCTCTGACTTCTTCCCAGGCAACCCCGTGAAAACCCTTTCCACAATCTGAAGGTCCTCCTGGTGTCGGATCAGCAACAGAACTTCCTGGAGCTCTGGTCTGAGATCCTCATGACTGGAGGCGCAGCCTCTGTGAAGCAGCACCACTCAAGTGCCCATAACAAAGGTACCTGTGCAGTGAGTGTGCTTTGTCATCGTCCCATGACCTTCCTGTAGCTCTCATGGGTCAGTCCGGATGGGTGGACCTTGCCTATATTTCTAAGACTTCCACCTGTCGGAGGTGAGTAGACATAAGTGAAACAGGCCTTACTGGTTTCCAGGGGTGTATTTAAGCTTTTCTATGAGGTCCCCATGTAATGACCACCTTTTTGCTTTCAGTTTTGCTAGTAAGCAGCTTCACGCTTGACATAGTGGGGTTTCAGTGTGGGCCAAGAGGCAGAGGCTGGCTAGCAGGCACTGCTGTATCTTTAATGGAGGCTGAATTAAGTGTCCTTTCCTCACTCCCTTTCCCTGCTCCCTGCAGATATTGCTCTAGGGGTGTTTGACGTGGTGGTGACAGACCCTTCGTGCCCAGCCTCCGTGCTGAAGTGTGCTGAAGCATTGCAGCTGCCTGTGGTGTCACAGGAGTGGGTGATCCAGTGCCTCATTGTTGGGGAGAGAATTGGATTCAAGCAGCATCCAAAATACAAACACGATTATGTTTCTCACTAAAGATACTTGGTCTTTCTGGTTTTATTCCCTGCTATTGTGGAGATTGTGTTTTAACCAGGTTTTAAATGTGTCTTGTGTGTGGATTCTTTGCATGGATCTTGTATATAGTTTTATTTGCTGGACTTTTATGATAAAATAAATGTTGAATCTCTTTGGTTGTAGTAACTGGGATTTCTTCATATCTTTCTTTGAGCTTGATCTCAGTGAATAAGACATGTAGGACTTTGAGATTCTCAATAGACTTGTTCATTTTAGGACAGCTTACCAAGGAAAATAAAAACTTGGCAGTGAACTTCACGCTTTGGCATCATTGGTAAAAAGTTATCCAGGCTCTCTAAAATGCTGTTGTTCCAAAAACTGGATTTCAAAGTAGGCGAGGGACCAGACTGTTACTCCAAAAGTTGAGTGGAACAGCTGTCAGTTTCCTTTTAAAAAGATGTCACTTCTCTTTAGAGCTGAGTTCACTCTGGACAGCTGACCCGTGGGTTCTCCCACGCTCAGGTGAAAGGGAAAGGGACCAGCTGCTATCAGTGGACAGTGACTTTGCTGGGTTAAAGGAACGCTGAAAGCTCCAGTCAGAGATCCACTATTGCTGCTACTGTCAACTGCCAGAGCTCTTCCTTGCCTGCCCCGAGCATCGTCCCTCTTAATATCCTGTCCTTCTCTAGAGGTCAACAAATGTTTTCTATAAAGAGCCAAACAGTACATACTTTAGGTTTCCTGGGTCAGCTGGTCTGACTGCAACCACAGACAGTTCTGGGTAGACACAGTGTGGCTGTGTTTCAGTAAAACTCTGTGTACAGAAAACACACAGCAGGCAGTGGTCTGCCAAGCCCTGCTCCAGTGGCAGCAGCGGAAGGGCTTGTCTTCAGTTGACAGTTGTAGGGAGGGACTAAGGGTTTCACAGTGTGTGCTAGAAGATGAAGACCAGGTTCAGTGACTACAAACTGAGGCCAGAACTTTCATTTTTTTCTCCAGTTTGGAGGGGGTTCAGTGAATGTTTATTTTGTCTACACTGATAAGAACATTAATGATTTTTTTCTTTGGGGGAAATGCTTTATATTCTCAATAGCTAAAGATGCCCTTTTACTTGTGTGAAAGAACTGGGACTTACTGACCAAATTCTTCAGGGTCACAGTTTTGAAGATCCTTAAGGGTAGGAGACTTTTAATCATCCATTTCTGAAGGAGGAAATTTTTACTTGGTGGTGACACCCAGCAGTTAACTGTTTATAATTTTTCACATATCATCCACAAAATATTTAACCTTCTGTTGACTGCTGTATCTCCCCGTCTTGAATACTACCAGGGCATAGGGTAAATGTTTAATAAAACTACTGCTATAAATGAGTATGTCCAGCAGATGTTTCAGGGTGAAGAAGCAAGTTCTTGCATGGTCAGAGACAGTGGACACCACAGGTCCTCCTTGGCTGGCAAGTTAAGAATCTCCCCTGGGTAGGGCAGTCACCTTCCACATGGGAGTGACCGCAAGGGTTTATACCTTTGGGTTGCTTCCAGGAGAAAGGGCAGAGCCTTCTCATCAGGCTGCAGACGTTTGGTGAGTGGCTAAGTGTTTTGAATCTTCTGTTATAAACTTGGGAACTGGTAGAATTGACTGTCTATGAGGTTATGGAAGCAGAAATTTTCACATCCCAAAACTACAAAAGAAAAAAAGAGCCTCATTAAATACCATGCTTTCCAAGACTGTCTTTAAAGAAACACAAATCATCATCTAGATAAGTCACCTTAACCCTCACATAGAGTTTCTGTGACTCCTGCTAAAATCACATGGAAAAAATGTGCTTGGGGACCTTTCAGAAGGGAGGGGAATAACACACACCTCTGAGAAGCGAGCACTGCATCGAGAATCGAGATGTTTTACAAGTTTTGAGTCAGAAGGGGTGGAGCTCTCCTTCAGACACGGAAGCTGGGGACCCCAGTGCCTGCGGCTGCACCAGCTAATTTGTGTTAGACCTGTGACTAAAAGCCATAGTGCCGCCTAGCACAATACATGACCTAGCACAAAACATGAAACCCTTCTGTCAGTGGTTTTAGTATTTTACTTTGATGTTTTTATTGGAAATAACCTCCATTAAAATTACTACAGATGATCAGACTCATTCCTGTACTCTGAGCCTTGTGTATAAGATGAGGGTGTTTGGATGACTAAATCACCTTCGTGCTCTGCAGTCCCACATTCAAAAGCCATACACGCAGTCTGTTCCGAGTTCCCAGTGTTCTCCCTACCTGCCCAGTGTCCCACCGGCCTGGGTATAGTATTTATTATAATCTAGTCGTAACAGGAGCTGGGCCAAATCTGAGTTGATCTGATGATTCCGAACACTGGAGAGAATCTTGAACAGGAGTGAAGACTGGCGGCTAAAGCCCTGTGGAGAGAAGGACTCGGGCTGTCATCTCTGTAACTTCCCAGTTCCCCTGGGGAGTGCAGGGCAGAGGAGTCCCTAAGAACAGCCTTGTTCACAATTCCCCAGAGCTACCTGGCCTTCCCACAATCTCCTTCTGTCAGCTCCTGTAATGACTTCTTACTACCAGCTCTTTAGACTGCATGGCTTTCTATGAAACAATTTTCTCATTAGTAGGAATTTAGCAGCTGGTTTCCTATGAATCTATTCTGTCATGTACTGGGGGGGCGGGGCTCGTTTGTATTATAGAGAGATGATATTACGACCTCAGTGAGAGTTTAGTTCAAGGAAGAGGTAGGATGAGGGACAGTGAGCACAAAGCCAAGGCGCACTGATAGCTGAACAAACTACCCTACTGAGGGTGAAACTATTTTCGAACACTGAGGTAGCAGCACATGAAGCACCTACTTCAAAATCAACTCGTACTGACATTTTAATCTCTGTATCACGTTATTTTTGTGTGTGTATGTCAGGGAAATGCTTTACTGACTCAGGAGGGGTCAGGAACCCTCAGGACCAAAACTGCCTCTACCCCGTGGATAGAGCTGTGTGCTTCCTTCGTCAGGTGTGCTCACCTTCACGAGAATGCTCAGCTGGGCCGCTCCACGCTCATCCAGTGGGCCCAGGTTCTGACTGACCAGCGAACAAAAACTGTGACAGAGATCTAGGATTTCATTCAGGCAATGAAACACCTGCCCAGGAAAGAGGGTAGGCATTAGAAAAAGAAGGAAGACCCATCTGTGGTGAAGGAAAGCTGCAAGAAAGTCTGTTAGCTGACCTCCCACACCTGACCTCACACTGCTACCCACAAGGCCTGCTGGCCCTGCAGACGCAACACACGTGAATGCGTTCTCAGTCTCCTCTCCTCGCGTTAAGCAGTTGCAATCACCTGCACCAGAGTGTGTTCCTGCCTCTGAGCTGTGTGTTGTCCTCATGTCCGGAACACTTCTCTTTGATACCAGTGCAAGCCCTGCTGTCTGGGGAGTGTTCATCCCACGCTGTAGCTGTAGTGAGCCCCCAGGTCTCTGTGCTGTAATCTTGGCATTGTGTAGGCCACCTGTGCTATCAGTGATTTCTGTATAAATATGTGTCTTGTTTCTCCAACTAGATTGTGAGCTCCTTAAGGGCAGAGCCATGATTTATACCTCTTTGTATCCCCAGTGCCTTGCATTCAGTAAGCACTCAATAAATATTTAATGAAGATGACCTGTTCTGTATATTCTGCTTTTCCTCATGGGTGCACTCATGCCGGGCAAGGACAGGTCTACCTATCACAGTAGTTGTGGCAGTTTCAATTCACAGAACTCTTCTGAGTGGCATCTCTGTAACTCATTCACCAATGTGGCCAAAGTAACAGCCCGAATGCCAGAACACAGATGGGTGTGGCACCTCTGCTGCGGTACACCGCGCAGTTAGCCAGCTTACACCAGAGATAATAACAAAGGTCATTTCGGTCTTCCTGCTTTTAATCCTGGATCAGCAGCCAGCCTGTGAGCAGTGAGAAACAGGGTGCCTGCTGTTGGAATTGGGGGATCTAATTCGGGTGCTGTGGGTCCCAGATGGTTCCACCGCGCTGTGAAAGTTGAGAATGACTGCCATGAGGGAGGCAGGCGTGTGTATTTACAGACACGCGGACACAGACACATGTTACTCTAGTGCTCCATGCAACAACTCAAAAAACTGGTTGATCCTGGGCCTACAGATCCCAAAGAAAATGAACTCTGCTTTTCTTTGGTTTTTCTGTAATGTCAGATTTCTGAATTTTTCTAAATCCTTCTATCTGAAGGTTAAATGCATAATTCTTTTATCTATTGCTGTTTCCTCTACAATACAAAAGGTGCAGAAATTCAGAAACATTTCAATTCCCTTTTAACGTTTCTTTTTAGTTTTGCTTTGTAAGTTGTTAAATATGTTTAAAAAATAGAACTGAAAAAGAACTTAATGAGAGTTTCCTGTCCTACCAATCCAAGTGCCAAAGGGAACAGTGAATGCTGGAACCAGTCTAGGGAACCAGACCGGCCCTACTTACAGGCTTCAGCAAGATAAAGGACTGGGCCAGCAAGTTGCTTAGGAAGTGGTCGTGAGCCAGTCGGATGCTTTCAAAGTCGCGGGTAGAATTGATCTGATGAAGCAGCTGTGAGAACTGAGACTCCAGCACATCTACCTGATAGTGACAAAAGTTAAGTTCAGCACCATCATATTCTAAGCACTGTTCTACCCTATTAGGTGCCTGATAGGATAGAACTGAAATTCCTTGCTGCTGCTGGTCTTCCTTATAGCCAAGCCACTTTCAGGTTCACCAAAGACCACAGCCATGGGGGCTGGGGTTTAGCTCAGCAGCACCGTGCCTGTGTGGCAAGCGCAAGGTCGTGAGTTCGATTCCCAGTACCAGAAACAAAAACAAAAACAAAAAGAAAGACCACAGCCATGCAAGACATTGTATGTGTAATCATCTTGACCACCTTCATTGTCTTGGGGACCCCTCTTCTCTGCCCCAACCTAATCCCCACTCATGCCCCATCCCTCTGCTTGCTGACTGAGTTAGTCCTACAAGATTCCACAAGTTCTAGCAAACACTGAGGAACAAGTCAACAATGAACGCTGCACTGCTGAGGAAGACCCTAACTCCTATTCCCATCTGTACAGTTCCACTTCCTCTAAAATGCCCATGAGAAGCAGGTATAACCCCTGAATTTTCTCAAACGTGAGCACTTAACCTAAATACAGAGCTATCGGCCCTCTTTACTACCACTCACCACCACTTAGACCTCATCCCCCAGCATGCACCTGGAGATAGTACTGGAGATTATCCACCAAGAATGCCATGTGATTTCGAAGGCGCCACTTGACTGCGTCAGTCTGATTAGACTTGAGGTGCTTGCGCTGCATCTGCAGGGCCCAGCAGTGCTGCAGTTCAGCCTGGACCCGGCGCACACTCAGCAAGTACTTGAAAACAACATTGTACCTAGGACAGGACATGAGGCTAGTCAGGAGACAACTTCACAACAGACACTAAGACTGTTTGCCACCCACCTCCCCCTAATAAACAGGGAAGAAGAATGGCTAGAGCTGTGGACACATCCACTGTGGCTCATGTGCAGTGAGCTATATAGCAGTCAAAATGAATGAACCAGCTACACAAGAGTAACTCTTAGCAATATAATTCAAATGAAAAGTGGTAACGTGGAAAAAGATCGCATTTAAATGTCTTAAAAGAGCTAAAGGGGATGTAGCTCAGTGGCATTATGTGCCTGCCTGGCAAGCACAAGGTCCTGAGTTCGATTCCTGGTACCAAAAAAAAAAAAGAGCTAAAGGCAAAAAGAAAAACCTTTTGGGGAATATATATAGATGTTATAAAACTATAGAACAGTAAAGAAAATGAAGAATTTATAATATTAGCTGCCTTGGGCTGGGAGGCAGGGAAACAGGACTGGGAAGAACACATAAACATGAACATTATCAGTGACTTATAATGTTAAGGGTGTGATAAGGGATTTGTAGCCACACTGGAACTGCCCCTGTGAACTGTGTAGCGGCCAGGTGAAGTGGGGGTTTACTCTTAAGCTTCTAGCACTCATGGCGGAGGGAGAGCTGCAGCGTGATGCTGGTGGCTACGGAAGCTGGAAAATGAGACTGTGGGAGTTCTTTACAGTCTGTGTTTCTGTTTATATTTAGAACTTTCTGTAATACAAAGCTAAAAATACTTCCAGATCCAAGGGTTAAGAGCATGTCAAGCAAGGAGATGTGGCCCGTGGCCTATGGCCCTGCAAGCTCTGGCACGTGGGTGCTCCCCGGATGAGATCTGTACAGCCTGCGGGGCTGAGCCAGCCCCATCTCTCCAGTGTGTGCCCAGGCTGCCCCAGCACAGCGCTGGGAAGCATGGTGAGCACCGACAGAGGCTGGAAGGTCAGGGGGCCTTCTGATTGTTTCTCTCTTCCCATGCCCCTAGCCTCACTCTAGCTTCTCTGCGGACTTCCTGCAAAGGACGTTCTCCCATCTCCTTTTCCTGGAGCTCTGCTTCCCTTCTGGTTTGGGGACATCAGGTCCTGATCAGTAAAACAGTGTGCGCAGGCTCTTGTAAAGAACATTGTTAGTCCCATGCCATGGTGGTCTAGCTCCTTTATGCCATCCCTGCAACGTGGCTGTCCCTGTTGCTTCCCTGCAGAGGAAAGGGGTGATCTCCCCAGTCTTTTTTTTTTTTGCTACCAGGAACTGAACTCATGATCTTGTGCTTGCCAGGCAGGTGCTGTGCTGCTGAGCTATATCCGTGGCCAATTTCCCCAGTCTTTTTGGCAAACATTCAGGCTGCAGGACTTCCCTAAGGAAACCATCATCATCATTAACAACAGTAAGCCATCATCACCAATATCAAATTTGTCTGGTCTGGTGGAATTATTAAGGGCCAGACTCTCAAAGTGGTATCTGAGACCTCATTTGCCAAAGGTAACTAACTGGCAGCTGACAAACCGCTTGTTACTTGGCAAATTATTTTAAAAACTATGTTTTAAATGCTTATAATCCTCCCATTCATTCCAGCACCCACTAGGCCACATCTGCAGCCTCACATATTAGTGTGATGTGCTGGCCCCTAAAGACACGCATATGCCATTCTCTGATTTACAGATAGTTAAAACTTAGTTGGCTCCCTGGCTCCCACTAATTCTATTCCTGTGACTTTTTCCCTTGGAAGTAAGGTAGGTAATGTTTACTGGTGAGACACTGGGATACTCACTTCTCCAGGACAGCTGGGGTAAAGAGAATGTGCAGAGGCCACTGTACTTTGTAGGAAAGGCCCAGGGCTGCCCAGCCGGATGCAGGGGCTTCCCGGGGGGAAGTTTCCCTAGAAGGCCCTTCTCTTGCCTGAATGCCATCTAGGATCAAGAAGAGGATTAAGGAATGACAATTTGGCTAATCCAGAATCAGACTCAACAAGGTGAGCAACCTTCGTGAAATGAGCTTGCTAGAGTCTGTGATATCAGCGTAAAAGGGACTCAAAGGCAGCAGGCAAGGAGGCTCACTGTGAGGCTCTCTTGCAAGGGCTTCAGAGATTCTTCTTCAGCACTGAAGCTGGAGGTTGGAGAAAACAGGGGCCATTCCAGTAGCATGCCCACGGTCTCCACAAAAACCCTGGCCTGGGCACGTCACCGAATTTCTCTAGGTTTCCAAGCTTCCCTTTTTCCTGTACACAATTAGAGGACTGGACTGGACACTTTCTATAGTCTAAAATGATAATTACCTGATGTCCGTGGAGGTAAGGAGAAGTAGAGATGGGAAAAGCAACGCAACCAGAGGAGCAGAAAGGTACAGAGAAAGGCAAACCTTTGTGCTCCTTCCCATGAAACTCGATGGTCAAGTGCAACAGAGGGAGAAGGTTGTCATCATCCAGCAATACCTTGTGAGCTGACTGCTGAAACGCCACGTTCACATCTGCAAAGAAAGAGCACTCGGGCTGATGGAGGGCTGGCGGTGGGACACAATGGACAGCTGTTGCTTCTGCCTGGTCAGCATTAATTTTTTTTCCTCTTGCTGGTAAAAGTGCAGCTGGCTCTGGGGGCTTGGTGCTGTGGCCTGGTTCTAGGGCAGGCGGCTTATGTGGAATGTCACACTCTGTCTCGCTACCCAGTTCAGGCCAATCTAGGGGCTCTATTTAGATACTTTTAAAACAGTGGCGCCCTTCTTGTGAAATCAGCAGGCACTTAGTGGGCTGGAGCCTATCCTGCTCCCACTCACAATGGGCCTGTCTGAGAAGGCAGTGGTGAAGGATGGAAAGAGGCACTTAAAACATCACGCGAGCCACAGAACTATCACACCTCAGTGCTTTCCAGTGAGAATCAGAATGTTCTTTCAGTTCTTGCTCTCAATTTGTTTATGTGAGTTTGAACTGAATTTTCTCTTTCCTTCTCTTTTGTCTCTCCCACCTTCTGTCTGTGTCTCTGCTTGTGCCCCCCCCCCACCCCCCAGTCTGTGCTGGGAATCTAACCCAGGGTACCACACATGCTAGGCAAACATTCTACCATTAAGCTATATTCCTGAATTGGGTTTTCTTATATCTGCCACCAAAAAAATGTAAGTACAGTGGACATACATTGTTTTATTGAGTTTGGGGGGAAAAAATCTTGTATTTTTTCCTTCCATTTGATTTTTTTTCTTTTTGGCTCTGATCCTTACCCAGCTCTCTTCATTGAGTCTGAATGGGAACAGCCATTAACTGTAGGGGTGGACACTGCTGAACTAAGCCTGTCCTAGTGTCTGACCTCTTTATTGATACAAAGTAAGCATGTGACCTGGACTGGGCCAATCAGAACCCTTCCCTGGAATTCTTTAACTTGTTACCAGAGAGACCAGGTATGGTTCCTTTACTAGACCCTGGGGGGGAGGCGTGTTCTGATGGCTCTAGGTCAGTAGAGTACAGGCGACACAGACACAGGGAGAGAGAACTCTCATAGTATCTAAGTCCTTCATTTCAGTTGTTGAGGCCCAGTTACATACCTGTCCCACTTGAGTTTTAGACAAAACAGCAAATTCCCCGTTTTAAACTAGGCTAGATCAGGGTAGGTTTCCACTGTCCATAACAGAGAATTCTATGCAATACTGTTAAGTCACACTAAGTCCCAATAGCCCTGTAAGACAGATGTGCTACATCTGATGAGATGAAGCACCCGGTTTGAGGCCTGTACCAATTCATCCACAAAGAACCACCAGGCACGGTGCTGCTACTAATGGCTGTGGTGTGAAGCTGACCTGCAAGTCTTCCACCTCTGGAGGTGCTGCTCTGTGACTCACCAGGCCACTCATACGGGCCACTCGTAGACTAGGCCTAAAAGCAATAGCCGCAGCCAAGAAGCATCCCAGGACTTCAGTAAGCTAGACATTCTTGGGGCCGTGGGACAATTACCATGCTCGGTCACTGCAGTAGGCGGCGTTTTTAACATGTGCTGAGCGGTGTCAATGAAGGCCTGAAACAGTTCTCCTCGTCCCAGAAGGTAAAAGTCTTTAATGATCTGAGAAAAGAATTTCATTGCAAATCAGTAAAGCAGGGCCAGAGGTCTTTGCTATACCAAGGGAATGAGACATGTAACTCCCAATCTTAGTGGTCTGAAAGTCATAGGCATTTGGCATTTCAAAAAGGCATGCATAGCAGGATGACTGGTTTGCATTCAATATCATGTAATCAATGGCAACATAATTATCTCACACAGGAGAGTAAACTCCCATATTATAGGAAGTCTGTGGCACAAAGTACTGTCTGCTCACTTGAGTAAGACCTAGTGAATCCCTGTGAAGTCTAGATATAGTCAATAGTGCTCTTGGGAAAGGTTAGAGAATGTAAGTCGGTGTTTCCTAGCACCAGTGTTAGAATTAATTAAAACAGGGCTGTGGATACAGCTCAGTGGCACAGTGCCTGCCTGGCAAGTGCAAGGTTCCAAGTTCGATCCCCAGTACCAAAAAAAAAAAACACAACAGTTATTACCTTTAGCTGACCCAGTAAATCTGACTCTTCTACCATCAGCTTCCAGAGATGCTGTGAAAACAACCAACAGAATTTCATTACAGCAGTGCCTGCCTGTCAAGCACAAGGTCCTGAGTCCAATTCCTAGTACCCCCCACAAAAAAAGAGTTTCATTATAATGAAAAGAAAAAGAATGTTTCTGTACAGATCTAGCAGTGTGCTGAGGACAGAATACACACAACTGATTCATTTACTCTCAGTAATGAACGGATAGCTTAACAGTAAACAAAACCACATGATATAAATATTCTGAAATTAGTGGTAATAGCTGCATACCATTGTGAATACAGTAAAAGCTATTGAGTTGTATGCTATTTTAAGATGGCTAAAATATTGGCTATTATGTTCTGTGAGTTTTATTTCAATAAAATTAAAATTTAGTTTAAAAGTATGAATATGAACTGGGTGGGGTGGTGCATGCCTATAATCCCAGCACTTGGGAGGCTGAGGCAGGAGGATTGCCACAAGTTCAAGGCCAGCCTGTGCTATATAGGTAGTTCAGGAGCAGCCTGTCTCAAAAAACCAAAGGGGGAAAAAAAGTATGAATATGATTTACTACATTAAAGTTTTAAGAAGAAAAACCATATGATTACCTGAACAGATATAGAAAAAGCATTTGATGAGATTGTATGTTCCTGATTTTATTTTATTTTACTTCATTTTATTTTTGAGACAGGGTCTTGCAATATAGTTCAGGCTATCCTTGAACTCACTATTTAGCCCAGGCTGGTCTTGAACTCACAGTGATTCTTCTGCCTCAGCCTCCTGCGTACAGGGATTACAAACAGGTGGCACCACACCCAGCCCCAAACGGTCATGACTAACTGGTATCATCACTATCTTCACAGAAAGTCCAAACGAATGGACACACAGAACGTGAGAACAAGTAAGAGAATTCAGCAAGGCTAATGACTGAAATGCAAAACATAAGTGCAGAGCAGGCATAGAAGGTGAAGTCCTGGCTTTAGGATTTGCCCAGTGAAGGCATCAATGACAGTCAAGATACAGAGATTTCCCACCCTTCAGTGACCTCCCCACAAAAAACTGTCATAAAGTAGGAAGTGGTCTCTTCCAACAACACACCTTTCTAGACAAAGTAGCTGATGTCCCCAGGGGGATATAAGCTCCTTGGCCAAAATAACTGGGCCTCTGAAGAGTAAAATGTACACCAGGCCTGGCAATCCTGCTGCAACGACCTGACTAGGTGCCTTCTAGATCTCCCCTGCATGAGGTACCTCTCACCCTAGATGCAGAGTGTCTTGCCTCTCATCAACAGTGCAGGAACGCTATGGCCTCCCTCCCTGAGAGCAGTCCTTCCCAGTAACTGGTGGATCCAGGGGCATAGCAGCCTTACGCCAAGCCCACCTGGAATGTCTTGAAAGGGCCCTTAGACCATCACAGCTCTGTGCAGGACTGGCCAGGGCACCTGCTGCAACTGCCCCCAAAATATGAAGAAAAAACTCTTCCAAATACTTTATCAGGCCAGTATTACCCAGACTGCAAAATCCAAAGGACAACACACACACATAAAAATAGCACTAGAGACCAATATTCTTGATGAACACAGATGCAAATATCTTCGAAATAGTGGCAACCAAGTCCAATAACACATTAAAAAGATTAGTTAACACGATCAAGTGGTAGTCATTTCATTCCAGGGATGCAAGGATGGTTCAATATATGCTAATCAAAGTGGTTTAAATCAAAGCAAATCAATAAAAGCACATCATTAGAATAAAGGTCAAAAACATCTGGTCATTTCAGATGCAGAAAAGATATTTGATAAAGTTCAACCTCACTTCATCATAAAAATTAGAAGCTGAGCACAGTAGTGCAACGCCTATAATTCCAGCAATTCAGGAGGAGGATTACAAATTGAAGGCCAGCCTGGGTAACACAGTAAGATCCCACCTCAAAGAGCAAACAAATCAACAACAACAACAAAAAACATGAACAAATTAAGTAGAGAAAGATTATACCTCACATATAAAGGCCATGTTTATAATAAGCCAACAGTTACCATTATATTCAATAGGAAAAAACTGCTTTTTAAGAACCACAAGGTAAGAATGTCCCCTTTCAATCTTTTATTCAACACAAAAGTTCTAGCCAGAGCAATTATGTAAGAAAAAGAAATAATGGGCATCCAAATTGAGTTTCTGCGCACCAACAGAAACTATCAACCCAGTAAAGAAAAATCTATAGAATGGGATAAAATACTTTTAAACCATACACCTAACAAGGGGCTAGCAGTCCAAGGCCTTAAAAGCAAACCCAAAACACTAATTAAAAAAAAAAAAGAGGACTAAACTTACATTGACATTTTTCTAAAGAAGACATATAAATGGGTAAAGGCACATGAAAAATGCTCAACATTACTAATTATCAGAAGTAGGCACATTAAAACCACAACAAGAATCATCTCACCCAGTAAGAGTGGTTATTATTAAAAAGACCGAGGGTAACAAGGACGTGGAGAAAGGCGAGCCTTGCAACTGTTGGGAATATAAATTAGAAACAGTATGGAAGTGCTCCAAAAATTAACCACATTAATACCATATGAGCCAGCAACCCCTCTCCTGGGTATACATCCAGAGGAAATAAAATCAGTCTGCCACAGAGGCTTCTGCGCTCCCATGTCTACTGCTGCGCTAGTCACCAGAACCAAGACATGGAAACCACCTAAGTTATCAGTTGATGATGGATAAAAAATGTGGCATAGACACAATGGGATACTATTGAGCCTTTCGAAAGAATGAAATCTTACCATCTGCAGCAACATGAATGAAATGGGCACTATTATGTTAGGTAAAATAAGGTGGGCACAGAAAGACAAGTACTACATGATCTCACTCACATGTGGAATGTGAAAAAGGTGATCTCCTGTAACTCGAGAGTACAGTGGTGGTTACCAGAGGCAGGGAGAGAGGAGGGTTAGGTGGGGAGGGACAGGGAGAGCTTGAGCAGTAAGTTACATTTAGGAGCAAGGAGATATGGTGTGCTACTGCACCAAGACTAGAGGCAACAGTAACACACTGTGCATTTCAAAAAGTTAGAAGAAAGGATTCTGAAAAAATTTGCCATAAAGAAACAAATAAATATGCTTGACCTAAATCATATATTATGCAATATATACATGCATGAAAACATTTTATAGTACCCCATTAAATGCACAATTTTTTTATGGCTACTGGCTTGTTTTATAAAGTATTTTTTTTCTTTGTGGTACTGGAGACTGAACCCAGGGCTTTGCACACACTAGGCAAGTGCTCTACCACTGAAATATGTTCCTTGGGCTTTTTGGTTTTTTTTAAGACGAGGTCTAGCTAAGTTGCCCAGGCTGGTCCTGAATTTATGATCTTCCTGCCTCAGCCTCCTGAGTTGCTGTGAGTACAGGTGTGCACTACTGTGTCCAGCAACTGTCTTTTTATGCATCAGATACTTTTTTTTTTCAAGACTGAAGATGCACCTCATCAGTAGAGCAGTTACCTAGTATGCACAAGGCCCTAGGTTTGATCCACAGCACTACCAAAAATAAGATAAAAATTCTAAGAATTTTAAGTTAAACAAGAAACAAATACAGAGGCTAAATAAAAGACTAAGTAAGAAAAAATTTAGATAAAATGTCAAATAAAATGTAAATAACCACAGACAAGGAGAGATTTTTAAACAAAAGGTAAGTCTATAAGAAATTTATTTAAGTCTTTAAACAAAAGGTAAGTTCATAGAAAATACCAAAATTGTTTTTAAAAAGAAATGTTTTATGCCAATAGGTTTTAAATAGACAAACTGAAATTTTCCCTTTTAAAAAAAAAAGTAGCTCAGATTTCTTTCCAGCGAAGTTCAATGAACATTTTTTTTTTTTTGGTTTGGTACTGGGAATCGAACTCAGGACCTTGCACTTGCCAGGCAGGTGCTTATGCCATTGAGCTATATCCCCAGTGATGAACCTTTATTTAGTGTCTTATATGAGTGATTCTAAAAAACAGAAAAGAACAAAAGCTACATAGCCCACTTTATAAAGATTACATAATCTCAGCCAGGCGTGGTGGCACATGCTTGTAATGCCAGCACTCGGGAGGCTGAGACAGAAGGATTGTTGCGAGTTCAAGACCAGCCTGGGCTACAAAGTGAGCTCAAGGCCAGCCTGAACTGTATAGGGACACCTTGCCTCAAAAAGACAAAAAAACAAACAAACAAAGATTACATCATCTTACTCCAATACTACCTAAGAGTAAGACAGGAAGAGAACAGTCTTATTTCACTAATGAATATGATGCAAAAACTCTAAATATTTGCTAAACAAATCCAGTAGTGTATTAAAATATAAAATAATCGTGATTGAGTAGAGCTTTTCCCAAGAAGATTCAACAGCTGAAAAATCTAATCAGAAATTTAAATATGAATAGGCAAAACCAATAGAAAAAAGGACTCAACATAAGAAACTGCACCTTCATTGGTACCAAAGGGACAGATGGTAAGTCAAGATCATTTATGGTTAAATCTTTTTTTTATATATTTTTCAGACAGGGTCGTGCTATGCAATTCAGGCCAGCCTTGAACTCACTCTGTAACCCAGGCTGGCCTCAAACTTGCAGCAATCTTCCTGTCTCAGCCTCCCAAATGCTGAGACTACAGGTGTGCACCACCACACCTGGCTATGGTTAAATCTTTAAAAATATATTTTCATAATGAGCCAGGAGTAGTGGTGCACATCTATAATTTCAGCACAAATGTGGTTTCCTTTTCTGATCACATCTCAGAAAAATCCTAGGTGTCAGACAGCTGTTATGTAGACACAAAAAAACAGACCTTAGAATGACCATGAAGTATCACCACACCTGGTTTCTTATGGGCAAGTAAATAACCAAATGATCTAAAATCTGTATTTCTGTTCTTTAAAAATTTCAAGACACTACCTTACCTCAGTCTATACCCTGAAGCAAGCTCCTGTCTAAAAGGGGTGATATCTTCAAGTCCTTCTATCATTTTTTATTAACTGTATTTCTGTTCTTTTACCATTTTTGTTACAACCGTCTGGATAGCATAATTAATGGAGGAAAGTAAATTTTTATTTTATTGTATGAGATGTCAAAATTAGTTTTATTTCTTGTGAAATTCTAAAGTGAATACGTTGACAGAAATTATATTTCCAGTTTTGTAAAAAAACAATCGACAAAAGACCTGAAGCTCAGACTCTTTGAAATTTCTTAGAATTGCAGCTAATAGATTTTTAGGGACATTACTGTAACATCTTTTAGCAATGAAAGAAAGCAATGAAAGAAAGTTCCCAGAAAGAAAAGTTGGGAGTGTTTTGCAAATATGTGTTGTATTCATCCCTTTGGGATATCACTTTCCTTCCTTTTTAATTTTTTAAAAGTAAGTGTTGGCCCTGGAGTTAGTGGAAAAGGATCTGGAATACTACCTTACACAGATGGGATAAGTGTTTAAATAAACTATTAAACAGGAGGCATAATAATAAATATCTTTCATTTGTTGGCTCTTAAAAAGATTATGCACGTAAAGCCTATCTATTACTATAATGCTCACTATAAACCTCAGGAATATTTAAGTTTATCAAATTAAAGTAATATTAGGTATGTTATAAAGTAACTTTAAGTTTTCTGAGTTATTTTTTGTTGTTTCAGTACTGGGGCTCGTCTGTGCTGGATGTTCCCAGCCATTTTTAAAATTTTGAGACAGGATCTTGCTAAGTTGCCCAGAGGCAGGAGGATCTCTGAGTTCAAGGGCAGCCTGAACTACAAGGTGAAGACCCGGTCTCAAAAAAAAAACAAAAAACAAACAAACAGCCTGAACTACTAAGTGAGTTTAAGGCCAGGCCTAAACTACAGAGTGAGACCCTGTCCCGAAAATACAGACAAACAAAGAAAACAACAAACCTCAGCCACAGTGCTTCGAATACCATCAACCACCTGCTCAAAATCCACTAAGCTGAAAAGAGGCTGCTGTTTTAGCCGATGCAGCTCTGCAGCAAAAGTGTCCTCCTGGTTCTTCAAAATGGACCCTGTAAGGAGAGGAGAGCTCTGTTACAGGGAGACAGGATAGCCGGTGAGGCAAGGTGTCCAGAGAGGCAGTATCTTCTGCTTGCTCTGGGCCATGCAGGCTTAGGGGAGAAGAGCCTCTGCACTTCCAGCTCATGGCCAAGGAGAGCCCTACCTTTTCTCGTCAGAGTCACATTCTGGTTTTCAAACATCTGCACAGACTCTCCAACGAAGAGGATTTTTTCAGCAACCCTCACTGGAATGTAAGATGGCAAAATCTCCACGCGTAGGGAAAACTGCTTGAGAGATGGTGCCAGCATGTTCTCTTCCTCAATCAGGCGCTAGGAAGGAAATGCCTCTCTTCAGAGACCAAGCATGAAGTAAGGAAAGGAAAATGGGGAGGTGCCTGGTTACTCCCCCAAGCCATGATTTCTATTTTTTAGAAGCAGGGACTGTAAATCTGAACACGCACAATTCTTAATCAGCACTGCTGCAAAATGCATTTCTTTCTCAGGCAGCAGAGTGGCAGGACGAGTCTGGGATTTGAGTCTTCCTCCTGCACTCACTGTGTGAAACGTGGACAGTCAGCCAATTGTAAGAACTGCTGTTTTTCCAGGTCTATATATGTTTGCTCTGCTATTCCTCAGGCCTCTCCTAGACCTCTTCCTTTTCCTCTTGTTCTACAGTACACAATACTCTTCTGAGACAATCACATTTTTGTGGAGTCAATAAACGGAACAGTCTCCATCTTTTTAGCTCACAGGCCTCTCTGCAAATTATAAAAGCTGTGCACCATCCAGGCAAAGGCGCAGGCATTATAACATTTTGAGATCCTCTTGAAGCCACCAATGCCCCACAGGTTAAAAACTTCGGAGCTATATGCTAGTGACACATTTAGTTTTGTCTATTTATTTATTTTTCGAGGCAGGCTCTTGCTATGCAATTCAGACTGACCTTGAACTCACTATGTAGCCCAGGCTAGCCTGGAACTCCCAGCTATCCTCCTGCCTCAGAATCCCAAGTACTGGTATTACAGGAGTGCACAGCCATGCTCAGCTCCATGTGTGGATTCAGATAAAGCTATACTGTTCTCATTAGCCCCAGGCTTAGCTCACTGGACATTTCCTCAAATTCCTTACTAGGGAAGGGGCAGGGCGGGGGGGGGCACACAACAAGGTCTCTCTATGTAGTTCAGGTTGGCCCCCACATGGTCTGTCTAGCTGGCCTTGAACTCACTGCAATCCTCCTGCCTCAGCCTCCCAAATGCTGGGATTATAGGCACGTGCCACCACACCTGGCATTTACTCATACTTATAATGCCTAAAATTAGATCCATCTTTCTCCCCCCAAACCAGCAATGCACAACCCTATCAACACTTCACAACTGCTGAAGACAGAACCTTGGGCATTATCCTTGATTCTTCTCTCTTTACCCACAGCCAACCAATCACTAAGGCCTATTGATTCCACCTCCTAAACACCTCTCAAGCTTTCTACTCTTCTCCATATTTACCACCATTAGTTGATGACACTATTATTTTCCACCTAAGTATCCTCATCACTTTCCTGTCATCTAATCTTGGTTTTTAAAAATATGATTCCTTACACAGCATCCAGAGTGATCATAAAGTCTGACTGTTACCCTTTTGCCTAAAAGTCTTCAATGAGTCCCAGTTCTTTGAGGTTCAATTCCACATTTCTTCCTGCTGTTAGTAAGGGGCTTCATGCTCTTGCCTCTGTTCAACTCCACAGCTTCATCAATTGCCACTTACCCTCTCCCCTCTACCATCTCTCACACATTACCTAACCATTTCTATCGAATTACTAATGGTTCCCCAAAGGAGTGACAGCCTCTGTAACTTCACACACATCATTCTCTCCGCCTGGACATGTCTTGTCCTGTCCTCCTAAACACTGCAATCCAGACACATACTCCACTGAAGAGCCTTGCCTGGTTACTCCATTTTCCAAAAGCACCTATGCTTACTGTTTTTCAGAACATGCAAAACACTATAATACAAGTGTCTGCTTTATTGTAAATGAAACTATAAGCTCCTTAAGGACAGAAACATTTTTATATACCTATGTAATTGTGACATTTAGAACCATGCCCAGTACATACTAGGTCTTCAAATGAAACATAACAAGGTAAACGGATGGACAGATGAATAGATGGATAGATGAATGAATATGGACAATACACAACTCTGAGGAGTCTAATCAAAGCTCCAAAGTCATTTTAAAAGCTACAAGGTAGCTATAGTTTGTAGAGAAAAGACTTATTACTTACCTCCTAAATGCATATAATAGAAAAAGAATCTTCCAAAAGGATGGAACCTAGTGCATGCTGGGTAAATGCAAGTATTCTACCACTAAGCCTCACTCCGAGCCCCCTACAGCCATATTTTCTCAGTCTCACACTAGTACAAAGAAAGCCTAGAGTTTACACATAAGGTGTCTAAACACCAGCACTTGGGAGGCTGAGGTAGGAGGATTACCGTGAGTTCAAGGCCAACCTGGGCTACATAGTGAGTGCAATGCCAGCCCAAACTTCACAGCAAGACCCTGTCTCAAAAAATAAAAAGCAAGCAAGCAAGCAAACAAACAAACAAAAGTCTATGGAAGGTGTCAGACTATGATGAACAGAGGAAGGATCAGCAAAAGACGATTTAGCTGTAAACACTGCTAACTGCTGGTAGAGAATTCTGGGCTGCTTGTTGGGCTCTCACCAAGTCCTGGAGTTCTCGCAGTTGCTTTCCTGTCAGTCCCCCAATGCCCAGGTCCTCCTCATCCTCTTCTGGCTGGGCACTGGTATTGCCAGAAGATGGACCCTGTTTGATAAAGAACTCTTCATACTGGTCCAAGAGAAGTCCATGAAGCATCCAGGCTGAGAGCTGCTTATACATGACCCCATGACACACTGCCAGGACTCTGAGGAGAGGGAGAAGCAAGAATTTTAGAACTTGGTTGGAGAATACCGAACCCTGCCAACACTGCACATTTTATTATGGGATTTGTCTTCCAGTGGGTTAATAGTTTATCTACTGAATTTATCTTTATTTAGCTTTTCTTCTATTATTGGTAACTTTCCAATTTCCTGATATAGCAGACAACACTGCAGTGAACAATGTTGTACATAGAGTTATTTCCTTCTTTCAAATAACTTTGTTAGGAAAAAATTCTTGAGTGGCATTATAGGATTATTAAATATAAGTATTTTTTTTTTCTTTTTTTTTTGTTGTTGTTTTTTTTCCAGTACCAGGATCAAACTCACAGCCTTGTGCTTGCCGGGCAGGCACTAAATCCCCAGCCCCTAAATGTAAATACTTTTAAGAATGATGTGAAAACACTGAAACTCCCAGTACATGTGTATGAACATAGTAAGCAGGCTCTGGTACATGTAATGGGAATCCTGCAAGAATAACGAGCTCCAGAAGTTGAAAAGGATTGCCTGGAGGTGACTCAGAAGCTAAGCCTGGCTTTAATACTTCACTTTACAACCCTTTTCTGCAATGCCTGAGCCGCTGTAAGGATTGCATGGGTTTCTCTGCTCACAGGGCTTTCCTATCCTGGTCATAACTCTCCCCAGAAGAAACTGAAAGTGACCTGAAAATATGACATATGGGAAGTTAAATCACTTGAACTCTTCCCTCACCCCAACCCTGGAATTAAGCCACGGCATACTTTTCTAGGGCACTTCGAACAGGAGGCAGACCCCCACAGCTGTGTTTGTAGACTGTCTCCAGGATCTGACATCCATGAATCTGTGGAAAATACAGCCTTGTTAAATTGGGTGGTTTTTAACAGTTCACTGAATATAAACATATACTCCGTATTCCAAGAGGGGACAGACAATCCAGGAGAGAATGGAGATAAACTGTCTTAGAAGATTTCCACATTGTGGTTCTCCAATTTTAGTATACGTGCTGCCGAAGGGAGCACTGTGGTTCTCAAAGACAGACCTCTCATGGGGCTGGGGACATAGCTCAGCAGCACTAGTGCCTGTTTGGCTAGTGCAAGATCCTGAGTTCGATGCCCAGTATAAAAAAAAAAAGACAGACCTCTCCTGCCAACATTGTCAGTGTCACCTCTGGCCTCAGGAGAGTGCAAACTTGGGCAGGATCAGCAGTCTGTCTGCACCAATCCTCTCAGAGAGGATAACAAATACCAAAGTGCATGGGAACCAGTGCACCAAGGAAATCAGAAGCATTTACAGTTAGGATTCCAAAGCCAAGGAAAGCTCACTTTTTCTGGTTGGAGCCCAATTCAGACCACTAAAGATATATACTTTCTCCCAAATCCACTGCCTCTATGTCCTTCATGCTTTTTTTAAAGGTATCATTTATATAACATAAAGCCTATTTTAATTATTTAAGTTTTAATTTGCAGCACTGCACAGCCATCACCATAATCCAGTTTCATCACATCCCACCACTCCTAAAAGAATCCTCTCTGCTCATTTGCAGTCAAACTCCTTCTCACACACCCACACTCTTGACCACCTCGTATTTCAGCCTCTGTAGAGCCTCAGCACATTAGCCTATCATCCTGTAGGAAGGAAGATTCACCCACGTGCAATCCCACTCTTCATTTTCCATTCTCCTTCCCGCAGCCCACAGAAACTAAAAAGTCAACTAAGATATGCAGCTGGGTAGGGAATCTGAGGCTCTCACCACTGATTCCACTCCCCTAGAAGGTCCCTTTCCACTTTGGGAATAGTGTAATATATGATCTAGAGCAATCTTTGCAAGTTAGACAGGCATGGGTTTATACCCTAGCTCTGCCATTTACTCCATCTGTGTGAACCTGTCACAGCCAACTGCCTGGTACACCCCAAAAGGAAAACAAAGCTGCATGTGTCACTTGATAAGTGCAATGTATTTTGAAGGACCACAAATAGCTCCTTCCTGGTTTTGTGAGTACAACATGAATGTAGCAAAGTATTTTAAGTTTCCTTGTCACAGAGCAAATTTAGCAATGTGACAAATTAACTGGTTAAATAATTATATTCATTAGGGTGCACATTCTTAATAAAATAAGACAGAAATATAAGAATTTAAAAACATGGAGCCTAGAGCTAAACATGTTTAACCCATTTGTCCATTTGATCTAATTATAGACTGACTGAGGGGAGCAGAGTCTTCTTTTAATATTAAATGTCAAAGCATTTATTCTTCACAGTTATTAACTATGCCCAGAAAAGACATTCTCCTCACATTGGGGACTCTAAATTTTCAATGCAGATAGTGAAAGCTTATGACAAGAATGAAGTATCTGGGTTTTACCTAGTGATCTCATAATTCTGAGAAAACACCAGTACCTTAACCACCTTATTTCTGACAAGATCAGGCGTGCTCAGGGTGGTATGGCCGTAGACTTAACCACCTTATTTCTAAAGGTTATCTTACTGCTCCTCAAGATCCACACTTTACAGTTCTAAAGCCTTACTGCAGGGGCTGGGGATTTAGCTCAGTGGCACAGCACCTGCCTGGCAAGTGCAAGGTTGTGAGTTCAATATCCGGTACCGAAAAAAAAAAAATCCAAAAAAAAAAAGAAAAGAAAAATAAAGCCTTACTGAAAATTCCTCTCACCTGTAAAATTCCATGACATTTTTTTTTTTTTTTTACCTCAGCAACATTTCCTCTGCCTTCTGAAAGCATACAGAATAGTATCTTATTTTTGCATTCTTGGCACTTAGCATGATAAATACGCAGATATTTTTGAATGAGTCAACAATAAAAACTAAAAACTAGAGTCTTCCAAAAGGAATGTAGGGCAACATTAATGATTAATATTTCTTTTTTACCAGAACAAAAGGAAAGAGGAAAGTTCTCACCTTTTGACTTTTAATTTGCTCTACTACAACCATCACAGAGGGAAAAAGGAGCTGGAACTGCAAAGTAAATAATTACAGGTATATAATCAAATGTAGTGGAAAAATAAACTCAGGAAATGCTTTTGTTTCTGTGTAACCTAAGATAAATGCAATATTCCGAACAGTCAAGATCTAGTATCGTAAGACAATCTGATGAGGGGGTTAGTTACAAACAGGAAGAAGGTGGCGAACAGAAGCTGTTCGTTTCTGAGGCTGCCATAACTGTCAATACTGATGTCACTAAAAGAACATTAACATGAGACATAAGTATTTAATTGGAAACTCTAAGTAGTTCTGATCTAGTAAAGTATGCAAAAGGCATATAATGTAAAATATTGGGCTCCGATGTCATACGTTCTCAAAAACAGTATCATAACTTAAGTTATTCTAACAATAACAATGAATTCCAAGGCATTTTGTTATTTGGGCAGCATACCTGATCTAACGAGTAATTGACATGTGATATGGAGAGATGGGGGTCAGCCAGAAACTGCAATTAAAAACAAAATCTCATTAGGACGCCACTCAAAATACCTTAAACCAGTCTGGGCTATGAAAACTACAAAAGAATCTGAGAACAGGTTTGGTATTAGTTTTAGGCTATATAAAACTGATAGTTTGAAAAAAAAAAAAAAAGCGAGCCCGCCCCCCCCTCCAAAAAAAAACCCTGATAGTTTGCATGCTATTATTTTAGGGGATTAAAAAAACTAAAGCCAGAGCTCTTATAAACTTAGAAACCTCTGCCATGATGTATAAGCAATTTTAATTCTGGCTTGGGCAATCACAGACAGAACACTGTACCCACTCCAGTCACACAGGACATATGTAAGTCTTATCTACTTGACCTTATCAAAGGGCATCTCAAATTTAAGAACACACTCTACTCTGCTGTCCCAGAGGAACTACTTCCCACACCTTTCTTACCTCTTGTTCCAAATCAAGCAGTGCTTGGCGATAAGGCTGTAAAACTGAATCTAGCCCTGTGCAGAAGGCCCTTAGGTAGATTCCATGTAACCCACCTTGGCCCTGCTGAGATGGGTGGTGGTCCTGAAATCAAACAGAAAGAAGTCAACTTCTTAGCTCAGGCCCTAAACCTGAGCTGACATTATCCTTGGAAGAATAAGGAGGAAAAGACATTATCCTTTATCAGTGGTATTTTTTTGTGTAAGTGATTCCATATCAAAGCAATGCTTCAGTGAGAGGAAAACTCAAATAATGATACAGATTTTTACCTCTGATATTTAATTTAATTTAATTTAGTGTACTGGGGATTGATCTCAGGACCTTCACACTGAGCTATACCCCTAGCACTTTTTTATTTTTTGAGACAGAGTATTGTCACTTAAGTTGCCCAGGCTGTGCTCGAACTTGTGATCCTCTTGTCTCAAATTCCTACAGTGCTGAGACTACAAGCATGTGCCACTATGCCCAGCTCCTTTGATCTTCTAAAATGTGGTATTTCAACTTTCCAAGCAGTCCCCAGTGTTACAACTAAACAGACAGTACTCTATGTCAGTGAAGATTTTTCTACAACTTAATTCTGACCTTACTGTTTCCAGCATAAAGCCCTTCAGTGGGTTTCTACTACCAAAAGTAATATCCAAATTCCTCTGGCCCATCTCCATTTATCCAAAATTATCTTTCTGTTTCCAGCTTGCCTCATTTTCAGACTCCCCAAAGTTCACCAAATGTGCCTTTCTTCTATTTCTTGCCCCTGTGAAAATTGGACTTGTGCTCTGCTTATGACTGTGTGCCTCAACTTTCTGACAAACACCCACTGTTCCTGCAGGACCCAGTGAAAGCATTTCTCCACAAAGTCCTTTCTCTCTCACTAGGGGATTAATAGCTTCTCCTTGCTGCTTTAATAACATTTCTACTTAATGCTTGAATTATACTTTTGTTTAGATGTCATCCTCACTAGAGTACAAGGTTTATAAAGGTAAAGACCATACCTGACTGATCTTTGTATCTCAGCTCTTAGCACAATCCTTTGAACCAGGTAAATATTTTACTAAATAAAAAATGAACTCAATCCGTCCTAACTTCCCATTTCCTGCCTGACTTAGCAATTCACCAAGAATACGAATCTGGTGGCCAATGTTGGGGGCTGTGAGATTCTCATCAGGAGTCACATACAAATATAGCTTATCTTTTAGGAAACCAGCAAGGAGCTTCTTATAGAAGCTTATATGGGCAAATATGGTTAACAGCTGACTAGAGGCTATGATTAAGTTTTCGGGCTATGTACTGGTTTGGATGATCAAGCCCTGGGAATGGTTGGACAGCAGAATTCAGCAACAAATGTGGTAGGAGGCTCGGGCTCAGGGGTTAGAAAGCAGGATATAGCTAGTGGACACTGCAAAAGGATACTGGTAGTTCTTGAAGATAAACACAGCCACACTAAGACCAGCATGGACACAGGTGAAACAGAACAGACTGGCTTACAACCAGCCAATTTGTTCTGATTTGGGGTCATTTCAGAAAACTAAACAATTTCATTTATTACAAAATAAAGAAGAAATAAGTATGTTTTTTTTTTACTTTTTTTGAAAAAAGAAGTACTACAGGTATCTAGAATTTGGGAAGGTAGGAATTCACATACCAAATGACATAAAATCACATAGTCATCAAAATACAGGACAGGCTTTTTTTCTCTCACATATAAAACAGTTAGAGACCTTGCTTTGACTTGAATATTTCCAGTGACAAGAAATTCTTCATTTACTTCAAATAGCTCCCCAGCAAATTCACTAAAAGCATGATAAAAGCTCCTGCCTTCTAAGGGTACATATCCTAGAACTGGGTCCCACCTGTTGCTGCACATGGCTTGTATACTGTTCAATGAACTCGGTGAAGCGGATATAGTCTGTGCCAAGCCGGCAGAGTCGATTGAGGACGCTGGTCTCACTAGGGTGGAGAAATGGGAAATCCTGCGACACCTGTAAGAAAAGGGACAATGACAAAAAAACCAGATGGCTGTTAAGTCACTGTCCTTCTTGGGATATTTCAAAGGCTTCACACCATCTACCTTTTCCTTTCTTACTATTTTTCTTTTCCTTTCCTTAAGATGACCACTTAAGGTTGGTGAATTCTGGGAGCAAAAGTATTTCCAAACATCTCAATCTAATTGCTTGCTTATTGAAATAGGTACCATTTGGTAAGAAATTCAAATAATACAGAATGGTGTGTGCTAACAATGAGTTGGTGGCCCCAGGGGCAGCCAATGTTATCTGTTACTCATGCAGCCTTCTGGGACAGCCTATGAGGAAATGCAGATTTCCACTTGGCTGCAGCAAAATCTCATCAGCAATATGCTTGAAGGGGGATCTGCAGACCCCCAGGGTTTCTCAGATATACTGTCAGGATTTATAAATCTTCTACAAAATTGAAAATTTTCATGCAAATAAAAATCTAAGATTAATGTGAACTATGAAAAAACACCTTATAACAAGCTAAATAAATTTATTTATATTTTCATTTTGTTGAGGCTTAGATCTAAAATGTCCTCTAAAATGCTGATGTGTTCAGAGAAGGGGCTTTGGGAAGGTGACTGAATCTTGAGGGATTAATCCACTGATGAGATCATAATCTGATAGCATTATTGGAAAATGACAGAAAAAGAAGATGGGGCCTCACTGAATGGAGAAGATCATGGAGGCAGGATCCAGGGACTATATCTGGTTCCCAGACCCTTTTCTGGCTTGCTCTCTGCTTCCTGGCTGCCACAAGATGAGCAACTTTCCTCTGTCACACCCTTCTGCCCTCCTCATCACAGGCCTAAAGCACGGGAGCCAGCTAACCACAGACTGACCCCTTTGAAAATGTGAGCCAAAATAAACTTTTTCTCCTTTTAGTTGTTTTTGTCATAGTAATGAAAAGGTAGCATACATCTGTATTTTTAGTTTAAATGAGGGTCAAATGATAGCTTAATATGCTATAAAAAAGGTTCACAGCAGTTCAAGTTGAAAAAAGTGCTGGAAAAATATATTCTTTGAACCAACTTCTTAAACATGTTGTGGTAAAATATATATGACATTTTAGCCATTTTTAAATGTAAAGTTCAGTGGCATTATAGTATATTCGCACTGTTGTGCAACTATTATCACCATCCATCTCTAGAACTTTTTCACTTACCCCAACTGAAACTGTACCATTAAATGTTAATTCCCCATACTCCTCTCTCCTGTCCTTGGAAACTACCATTCTACTTTGGTTTCTATAAATCTAACTACCTTAGTTACCTCACAGAAGTGGAATCATACAATTTTGTCCTTTTGTGACTGGTTTATTTTATGTGGCATAATGTCCTCAAGGTTCATCTATATTGCAATATATGTGAGAATTCCTTTCCTTTCCACTATATGTATATACCACACTTTGTTTACTCACTCATTCCTTAATGAACACTTCAATTGCTTCTACCTTCTGGATATTGTGAATACATGCTCTATGAACATGTGTGTAAAAGTGTATGCTGAGTTCTTACCTTTTACTTCTTTTGGGTACATTCCCAGAAGTGGAACTGCTCAATCATAATGGCATTTCTATGTTTAATTTTTAAAAGAACTGCTATACCATTCTTCACAGTGGCTACAACTTTTTATATTCCCACCAGCAATGCAGAAGTGCATTTATTTCTCTACAACCTCACCAGTGCTTGCTACTTTTTAAAATAGTAGCCATCCAAATGGATATGAAATTGTGTTTCACACTGGGTTTGGATTTGGATTTCTCTAGTGTTAGTCAGTATTTTTTATGTACTTATTGGCCATTAAAACATTTGTTTTTGGAGAATCAGTCATCTTTTAATTAACACCAGGAGGGGCTGGGGATTTAGCTCAGCGGCACAGCGCCTGCCTGGTAAGTGCAGGGTCGTTTGTTCAATTCCTGGTACCAGAAAAAAAACCAAAAAGAAAAAATTAATATCCCAGACACTATGCTAACATTCAGGTATAAAAGCATCAGATAAATTCAATACTGCCAATTTAATTTCAGCAAAATAATATTCTATGTGACACTGGATCTGTGTTTTTCAACCGGGGTAATTTTGCTTCTTGTTGGCTGTCAAACTGGATGGGTGCTACTGGCACCTAGTGGGCAGAGGCCACACATGCTGCCTACCATCCTACAGTGCACAGGGCAGACACGATAAAAGACTTATGCAGACCAAACTGCCATCAGTGCCAAAGCAGAGAAATTTTGCATTGTAGTAGTATTAATTCAAGTTTATTAATCTGATAGTTTTGTTTACATTTAATTTGTAAAATAAGTTGTTTTTATAGTTAAAAGCATCATGCTTGAGTTTATACATAGCTTTATATGGACATACAATACGTGACCATACAACAGTACGATGAAAATAATTTTCGTAAACATTAGGCATTCATGATAATTTTTCCCTTTAATCAAATGTGAAAAACACTGCTCGTGAAAGTATGCAATATTTGCTGTTTTTGTCTTTTCTTCCACAAGTACTCGCACACCTATTATATGGCAGGAACTGAGGTAGGTGCTGCGAGTACATATATGAAGATCACACTGTGGTCTTTACCACCATGGGCAATCTATTTAGGAAAAAGACCGTAAACAGGTAACCACAGTAAATAATTACTAATTGTGATAGTAATAGAAACAAATAAGTTGCTGTGATAGACAGTAATGGCATAACAGAAAGATAATTTAAAGATATGGTCAGGAAACTTTCTGAGGTAACTTTAAAGCTGAGACCTTAGGAATGAAAAGGAGGAAAATACCTGCATGAGGCTTTTTTTTAAAAGAAAGAATGGAAGAAGGAAGATGATTTACCTGTAGCTCTCTCTTCAGCCTCCCCAACTATCTATCTTATATTGTTATCTCTTTTAACTTAAAACAGGCCAGCACCCACAAATACTTCCTGAACATTTCCTCCTATGTAAACATCATTGTGATAAATTCTGGGGGGAAAAGTGATACGCCAATTCAGTCTTCAAAGATCTATATGCCAAAAGCAATAATTTGAAAAACTCATCTAAGTTCCCAAAACCCAGATTCACATTCATAAGAAACAAGAGGAATCTGTTTGATATATAGGTTTTATATAGTAACAATGTAATTCTTCTCTTCACAGCCTATATGGGCAGCTCTCCTAGGAACATGTGCTCAGACAGACCTAGATTCCTAATTTTTTTTAAAGACAGGGTCTTGTTTTGTAGTTCAGGTTGGCCTTGAACTCACTACTTGGCCCAGGCTGGCCTCGAACTCCCGATAATCCTCCTGCCTTAGCCTCCCTGAGTGCTGGGTTTACAGGTGAGCACCACCACACCCAGCTTTAGTTTCTGTATCTTGCTGCTGCTAGGATTAGCAGGCATAAAATGATCTGGGCTTCAGATGTGCTCATTTGCAAAACAAGGCTAACAATACCCAAATTACTAGGTTATGAGAACATTAGGTGACATTTGTATATGTACTAAATACTTTTTTTTAGTATATGTGCTATATACTCTGGTTTTCCTTCAGATCGTATACATCTTTCGTCTTTAGTATATGTGCTGCCAAAGCCAGCACTAGGTGACATTACTGGAAGCAGAATTAGACAAGAATAGCTCAGATACTACAGCCAGACACAACTTGGTTCAAAACTAACATTCTGCGCCTAGGTTAATCTGTAAAATGAATATAGGTGGTTGTGAGGATACAGTGAGATACTGCACGTGTGCAGTATCTATCACATATACATTTACATTTCTGTTTACAGGAAGGCCCGAGACATTCTACACCTTGTGCTGAAACCTCCCAGGAAAGGAGTAATGGGGGAAACATTACATGCTCTCGAACTCTTTGACCAAAAACCGACGAAGGTTGGCGTGTTGAGCGCTGTGTGTTTGGACAAGCCCCACGCAGGCTTCCTCCCTCAGTTGAATGCCCAGTTCCCCAGCAACTCCTGCTAAGGCACCCAGAGCACAGGCGGAGCATCTGGGGTCTGCCTCCGTTTCTCATCTAGTCCCGGCTGGCTCAGGTGTCCACGTCCCTTCTGGCGCCGGGGCACTGTCCTCCAGTCAGCTGGCCAGGCCCCGGAGTTCCCCGGACGCCGGCTCCCGGGTTTCCCAGCTCCGCGCCCACCAGTACCTGCAGGCCACTGCGCTTGTTCCAGGTGAAAATGGACCCCGGGTACCCGCTCAGAGCCAGGAGCAGTTCGTGGATCATCCCCCAGCGGACTTGGGAGTCCCTAGATACGACACCCTCTCCTCCAGCACCTCTCCAGCAGACAGCCCGGCGGAGCGCTCTTCCTTCTACAGGAACCCGCGTGAGCCAGTCAGTCTCAGCGCGCAGGGACCCTCGGCGGTAGGAGCGGGCGCACGGACGCGCGGAGCGGGCGGGGCCGGCGTCGCGTCCCGGAAGTGCGCGGGCTCGGGGGGACCCACTCTCTCATCCCGGCGCGCGGAGAGGTAGGCGCGAGAGTTGCCATTGCGCATGCGCTCTCGGGGTCCCGCGGCGCCCGGACTTCCGGTTTGGGAGCCGGACCCGGCAGTTGGAGAGCTGGCTGGGCTGGACCCCGAGGGGGTGAGGCTGGCCCGGGCGCAGGGATGCAAGTGGGCCAAAGGGCAGCTCGAGAGGGACACGCGCCTGGGCGTGGGCCTAGGTGCCTTCAGGGTGCCTCGGCCAGGTCTGAGGCCTCTGGGGAAACTGCTGCCCTGCGCATCTGAGTGACCCGGCCGGAGGGCGCGAAGACAAAGAGGCCGGAGCGCCTCAGCCGCTGCTCCCGCAGCCTACAGCCCTCGGGGCCCCGCTACGGCTGCGCTCGCCCCAGGAGACCCGTTCTTACTGCCCTTCGGGCCCGTCCCTCCACGACTCAGTGTGACTTTCACAAGCCCGGTACCGGGTCTCGCTCCAGGAGCTGGCCAGCTTCTTCCGACGCGCGAGGCTGCCCATCATTAGTCCTACACCCTCGCTGGTCACTCCAGCTGCGAGGGAAAAACACGCCCGGCGTTCAGCCCTCGAGTTTGTGCGGGGCGGAAATTGATAGTTCGGAGCCCAAGGAGCGGGGCACATGAAGAGGGCGGGAGGGGAGACCGCGGAGGTCCAGGGGGCTTCTGCTGCGACCCCGGGGTTCCCGCATAACGACGTCACCCTCAGATGCTCTCGCGCTCTAGGTGTCCCGCATCATTCAAACTCACTGCAGCTGATCCGGGGAGTTCAGTGTGCTCATCTGGGGAAGGCGAGATAGGAGCATTTTGTCTTCCAGCAGCTTCTTGAGACTGCCTTAAGTGTGGCCCAGAAATACAGCTTTTGGAAGGTCCTTCTTGCTCATTGTTGACTTGCCTCGAAGATGATGCTACCTCTGATCGCCTCTTGGAGCACGTGGGAGGTCACGCCAGCTCCGGCAAGACTTAGACTTGTGAATATATTGATGGTACCATCTCTCTCTACCCTAGGAAGCAACTCCCCTTACAGAGAGAGCCTCATCTGCAGTTGATTCTCCAAGGACATGGGAAGATAGGTGACAGCCCTGGAACCCAGACCCTTAACGTGGAAGCAAGCTGCTTTGTGCTGTGAAGGATGGCCAAACCCACTCTGAGAGAGAATGGCACCAACTCTGAAGCCTTCCGCCAGCGCTTCAGGAGGTTCCATTACCAGGAAGTGGCTGGACCCCGGGAGGCTTTCAGTCAACTCTGGGAACTTTGCTGTTCCTGGCTAAGGCCAGAAGTGCGCACCAAGGAGCAGATTGTAGAATTGTTAGTGCTAGAGCAGTTCTTGACCATCTTACCTGGGGAGATCCAGAATTGGGTACAGGAACAATGTCCAGAGAGTGGAGAGGAGGCAGTGACTCTGGTGGAAGATTTAGAAAGAGAACCTGGAAGACCTGGATGTTCGGTGAGAAGGGAGAGGGAATTTAGAAGTATGAAACTGGGAAGGGGCAAGGTATCAATTTAAAGTATAAAAGTCTCCCTTATGCTTCTGATCTAGTGATCTTTTTCTGGTCTGGAACAGGTAACTTTTTCAGATAGTGCATATCTGGAGGTGCTACCTGGATGTGTCTTTATCTACCCTTTAATTTTAGTTTCCTATTTACTAGAGAAAGGATTTTTACAGCCTATAGTCAGGTTTACTATTTTGACTTTTTCCTTCTGTAGTTCTAGCTGCTGTAAGCTGATGGTAATGGAGTAAGGACCTTCTTTGTTGTAACCTCCTCACCTCTGTAATTCTGGCTGTGCTGTAGACCACTTTTGGGTATTAAATAATCTCTGAGATTGTTCCTCGTGACCTTGCAGTGACAATAAGTGGGGTTGTTTCCAGGTCACAGTCCCTGTGAAGGGGGAGGAAGTATGCCTGGAGAAGATGACACCCCTGAAATCATCACGAGAGTTATTAAGTGTTCAGCAGGAATCAGTGGAACCCCAGCCCAGCGGCGGACTCAAGAAAGAGAGGGCAAGAAGCCCAGATCTGGGACTACAGGAGCAGATGAACTCAAAGGAGAATCTCAGACACTTTCAAAGGAGCGGTGAGAAGTAGTCTCCTATGAGAAGATAGAAAGCCATTCCAAGTTGGGAAGTAGGGTTGGAAATAGTGAGTGGGAAAGGGATTTTAGGGATAAGTGGAAATTGTAGAATACGTGGCGGTTGTTGGGAACCCTCTGAAGACATGTACTTTAGCCATCTGGTATAGTAAGTATTCTGGTATGTCCTCTTTTGATAAGTGTTAGAGAATGTCCCTAGTTTTTATCAGAACCTAGAACTATTTTATTTCTTCTTGGTAACGATGATAGTAGGTCACTGCTTTCTAGATAGAAATTCTTTTCTATACCTAAGAGCACCTTTCTTTTAGCTCCAAATTATATTTGTCTCTTTAAAATTTCCCCTGGATGTGGTGGTACACACCTGTAATTCCAGCATGAGGGAGGCTGAGGCAGGAGGATCAGTTTGAGTTTGAAGTCAGCCTGGGCTGCTCAAGGCCAGCCTGAACTACAGAGTGAGACCCTGTTTCAAAAAAAAAAAAAAAATTCCCCCATAAATCTCCATTCTTTAGACATAAGTTTTTGTTACTTTCAACTTTGGAATTTTTAAATTTTCCAAGTATTAATTGTGGGGAACTAAGTTACACATATTATTTCAGTGAGGGTCTGTTAGGTAGAGGCTTAGTAAGAATTTTAGTTTGGAATCTCAGCATCTTGAAATATAGCCCAATTTATGATTATGAGATCATTTATGTTCATCTGGTAACTCCTAGGACTCTTACAGCTTTCCCTGATGTCTTTGCATCTAGTCATTTATCCTTGTACTTGATTTTGTAGAACTTGTTTTTCTTCTTTATACTGTTAAACTCCATTTTTTATGTTTTTTTCTTTGATCATTTCATATGAAACTTGTTGAAGCTGTTTTGAATTCTGATTTTTATCATCCAAGATGATAGCCTTCTTGACCCGTTTGAGAATGGTCTGTATTTAGTTAACCAGATGAAATTCCTTAATTGCACATACAGACTTACAGAATTAATCGTTCAGCCTCACATGCATGAACTCACAACCTTGCATGTGCTCAACATTCTGCAGTAAGAAAAGGGACTAACCTCAGAGAGCTTGGAATGTGATTGAGAACACAACGGCAGTCTGTAGAGACGTTCTAAACTGAACCATATTGAAAGGATCATGAACAATGACTTGTTTGATTGCAGGGATTTGGAATAGTGGAGATGAGTGAGGGATGCAAGCACAGGTTCTGGAAGGATGGGTTGAATTTGGCTAGGAAGAAGGGATTAAAGGAAAGGCACAGAGTGGTGAATAAAAGTATACTATGTTTGGGCTGGGGATATAGCTCAGTAGCACAGCACCTGCCTGGCAAACGCAAGGTCCTGAGTTTGATTCCTGGTACCCCTCAAAAAAGTGTACTGTGTTCTAGAGAGAAGAGCATAATAGGAATAGGTAGTGCATGCCAGGCACTAATGTTAAAGTTCAGCGGAATAGCATGTGAGCTGAGGAAGCTAGAACTTGGGAGTTCAGGAGCACAGTGGCTGTTGCAGTTATCTGGGAGGACCAGGGGTCTTGATTTGGATGGTGGTAGTAGGAATATAGAGAAAGCCTATACCAAGGAAAACATCTTTAGAATCTGGTACTGAGTATGAAGGAAAGAGAAGAGTCGAAGACAGTCTTCTCTCCCCTCATTCTTGAAGTCACTGAGTTTAATTCTCTAATCCCAAGTGAAAAAAACAGGACAGGAAGTGACTGTTCCCAGCAGCACTGTGACCTGCAGACAAATAGTCTGCAAGGCAAGGGAACAACTTGGAATAGAATTATCTGCTTTGAACACACAGCAGAACCTCTTCCTTTCTTGTCACCCTGTTCTGGAAAATAAAATATTTTTCATTTTTTGAGGTTTCCTGTATTTTCTTTCTTTAACCCAGTGAACTTCCTGAAAACATTATCTTAGATAGTTTATGTTCTCTTTGATAAAAATGGCACGACTGAATTCAGAGATGTTCGTATGATCATTCCAGACTATGATACCTTTTGTTTGCTTCCTTGCAAGCAGGATTTCCATTTCCTAAATCTGGTGTGGTCTCCATGTTGGAGCAAGGTAAGCCGTGGATTCCAGATCTGGGCTCCAGGGAGAAAGAAGTCCCAAGAGGCAGCCACACAGGAGATAGACGAGTGCATGCTGACCTACTGCCCTCCAAGAGAGAGAGGAGAAACTGGATGGAACAGGATCACTGGGGCTTTGAGGATGAGAAGGTGGCTGGTGTGCACTGGGGCTATGAAGAGACCAGAACTCTCCTTGCAATTCTGAGCCAGACTGAACTTTATGAGGCTCTCCGAAACTGTCACAGAAACAGCCAAGTGTATGGGGCTGTGGCCGAGAGACTGCGGGAGTATGGCTTCCTCCGGACCCTGGAACAGTGTCGGACCAAGTTTAAAGGCCTTCAGAAGAGCTACAGGAAAGTCAAAAGTGGCCACCCACCTGAGACCTGCCCCTTCTTTGAAGAGATGGAAGCTCTGATGAGTGCTCAGGTCATTGCCCTGCCCAGTAATGGCCTGGAAGAAGCAGCCTGTCACTCTGGTCAGGTGGGCAATGATGAGCCTGAAGAACCCCAACAGGGAGGTTGGCAGCATGAGGAGGAAGCAGAAGAGGCTCAGGCTGAGGAGTCTGACAGTGACGAAATGGACCTAGAGACCACCTCCCAGGACCCTGGTAACTCAGCTGCACCTGTCGTGTTCCGTAGTCCAAGTGGTAAGAAGCTTTCCTTCTTGGGGTTTTGGGATTAGACAGCAATCAGACTGGTTGAGGAGTCATGAGGTGATTACCTGCCAGCTTGGCTAATCAATAGGAAACATACATTGGTCAGTTCTATATGTATGTCATTTTTTTGTGGGAAAATCAGTGAGATAATAGTAAGGAATAGATTGATTTTTGAAAGAAATATACCGAGAAAATTCAAGAGTGTCTTGAAAAAGAATCATACTATTTTTTTTTATAATATTTTTTCTCAATTATAGAATCATTGCAAGCTGAGAAAATGTGCCACTTAATTGTCTTTTTCATTCTTTTTCCCTTCACTGATATAAATAAGTTTAGGTAAATCATAAATGTGGCTCATGTGCTAAATGGTATTATTTTTGTTCTTTTCATCTTTTCCACCACTTTTTCTGTTTTCCAATTCTTTCCTATTCTTTACTCACAGTGAGTAGAAGATAATGGAAATAAACATCCAACTGACTCTCAAGTGCAAGACTAAGTGAATCCTCTTTCCTTCCACTCTGAGTACCTTCAGGGAGCAAGGACTATACTCATCCTGGTAGCACCACTGTCATGTGTCCAGCCCGGGAGATAGTGTGCTCATTTCCTTCCTCGTTGTGGCTCCTGTCAGTCTTTCACTCCATGGATTATGTGTGTGATTAGATGCCCTTGTTTGGTACCCTTCAAGTCTTTACTATTGCTGGCCTGCTTAATTGAGATCATGGCAAATGAAAGGCCGTAATACAGATTTGGCAGTAGTAGCGTGATTCTGAAAGAGGCAGTTTTCTGAGTTTTAAGTCATTCTGTGGGAAACTGAATTCATCAGGAATTCAGTGATCAGAGAAGTTAGGTATGACACATTGTGGCTAACAGCAACTAGTTGTGGGTTTTCTTCTTCTTACTAATAGTATTATAATAAGATTCAGAATTCCATAAAAACTAATAGAATAATAGAGAAATGCATTTTATACATTTGACTCTATATATAATACATAATTATGTTTTAGTGATTGGGTGAAAAGGCTTTTTTTTTTAGTAGCAAAATAGAATTTACAAATGAAGTTCTCTGTGCAATTGCTAAAGGATAGAGAGAAGTATAATGTTCTATAATGAGTTTGTATAGATGGGAGCCTTAGGTTAGGTACTTTTCCTTTTTTCCTTTTTGGTGCTGGAATTGAACCCAAGGCCTTGTGCATGCCAGGCACACACACTTCTAGCTTTACCTGCAACCTTAGTGACCTACCTTCCTTCCTCCCTCCCTTTTTTCCTACAGCTATATTTCTAGTCCTTTTTTATTTTGAGACAGGGTCTTGCTAAGTTGCCCACACTGGCCTTGAACTTGAGATCCTCCTCCCTTTGTCTCCTGAGTAAGGGAAGAGCCACTACATCTGGCTTTTTTCCTGTTTTGTTTCTGGTTTGTTTGTTTGCTTATGACAAGGTCTTGCTATGTAGGCCAGAATGGCCTTGAACTTACTGTTGAGCCCACGCTGGCCTTAAACTCAGGATTCTCCTGCTTTAGCCTCCTGAATGCTGCTATTATTGGCAGGTGCTTAGCTTTTTCTCTCGATGCAGGTGATGAAATTGGGAATTGAGGCTCTAAAGCTGTGGATTAAGTGATGCTGAAATTCTTTCCCGGTGGCAGGTGTACACTGGGGCTATGAAGAGACCAAGACTTACCTTGCAATTCTTAGTGAGACTCAATTTTATGAAGCCCTCCAGAACTGTCACCGAAACAGCCAGTTATATGGAGCAGTGGCTGAGAGGTTATGGGAATATGGCTTCTTCAGGACACCAGAGCAGTGTCGGACCAAGTTTAAAAGCCTACAAACCAGCTACCGGAAGGTCAAAAATGGCCAAGCACAAGAGATCTGCCCCTTTTTTGAAGAAATGGATGCTCTGGTGAGTGCCCAGGTTGCTGCTCCATCTATTGATGGCAAAGAAGAGGAAACAGCTTCTTGCCCTATCCAGGGGACCAGTGATGCTGAAGCTGAGAAGCAAGCTGTGGACACAGAAGAGGCCATAGAGGAAGATTCTGATGACAATGACAAGGATATTGAGATACCCCCAGGGGCTGTCTTGACCCATGCTCCAGTATTATTCCAAAGCCCCAGTGGTAAGATTCTTTCCTTTTTATGGGATAAGATAAGCAAAAGGGAGGAAATGGGATTTAGGAGAAAACCATTAGATTGAGAATGGGCCTCTATACCCAGCTTCCATGGGTTCTTGCTTACCTTATCCCTTCCCCATGTTTCCTTTCTATCAAAGCAGGTCAGTGAGGGGTAATGTTATTCATGTGACTTTTGGCTTCCTCACACTACAGCATCAATCTAAGATAGCGATAAACTGTAAATTCATTGTCATTGATGTGTGAACTACTACAATTCCACTTTACCTAATAGGAAATCTGAAAGCTAACTTTTCCCAAGTAGCATGTCATGTACCCATGACAGGGGTTAATTTTAAAAGTTCATTTTCATTTTCTTCTGATTTCACCTTGTATACCAGCTATATATAAACTTTATTCACATTATGAAGGCCTGACAACCCTTTTTTTCAGACACACTTTTGCAGAAGTCTGAGGTTTCTGTGGGAATTAATTATATAAATATTAACTGCTACCTAAGAAAAAATACTTCAGCATGGCTTCCCTCCTTGTAGAAAGAAGAGTTCTGATTTTGCAATCATACACATATATGTGTGTGAATCTGGGCTGTGTTAACTGAGTACCCCCAGGTTTGCTTATATATTAAGACCTTTGGCTGGAGATGGAGCTCAGTGATAGAGTGCTTTCCTAACATGTGCAAGGTGCTGAGTTTGATCCCTAGCACTGCAAAAAGAAAAGAAAAAAAACTTGAGTCACAGAATTGATGTATATGAGGCACTGTATGAAGCACCTGTTGCAGTGCCTGGACATACAGTAGGTATTTAGTAAATAAGTTTTGACTTCAGTAAGTCTTTTAAGTCAGTATGCTTTAAGGATGTTACATGGAGAATCACTTACATGGGATATTAATATGTTGTACTAAAAAATTACTTTTAGGTTTGAGAAATTCTAAATAGCTCTTTTGGAGGCTCATAATACATATTCACATAACAGTAATACCTCAGTTTACAAACACTTCCGTTCGTGAACAATTCATTTCACAAATGGAAGTGTTTGCCAAAATTTTGCTTCCATTCGAGAATTCTGCATTGGGTGACGAACATGACTGTGCCATCTTCCCTGCATAAACACGAATGCAGCCATCTTCCCTGCTCTGACATGTGGTCATGGCTTCCTCTAGTCAAGACTGTGGTCATAGACAGACCTGTGCACACTTGCTGTGAAGCTTTTTTGTTTGCTTTTTAGCACATACAGTACTGTACAGTATTATTCAATCCAGCATGGCTCCAAAGAAAGTACAGAGCAAGCATGGTGGTAAAAAGAAAGTGCAGAGCAGTGATGAAGGTAACAAGAACACGCAGAGCAAGAATGACGGTAACAAAAAAGTGCAGAGCAAGAGCGGTAAGAAGGTTTTGAAGAAGATAACCATTGAATTGAAGAAGGAAATTGTAGAAAAGCATGAGCGTGGTGTTCGTGTGACTGATCTGGCCTCAGAGTACAAGATGGCGAAGTCAACAATCTCGACTATCTTGAAGAATAGAGATGCAATCAAAGGAGCTGATGTGGCAAAAGGAGTAACAACATTAACCAAGCAGAGGACACAAGTGCTGGAAGAGGTGGAAAAACTTCTGTTGGTGTGGCTGAATGAGAAACAGCTGGCAGGTGATAGAGTTAGTGAAGCTATGATCTGTGAAAAAGCCAGGAAACTGCATAGTGATTTACTGCAAGAAAATCCCTCTACGAGTACAACAAATAATGAATTTAAAGCCAGTAGAGGGTGGTTTGATAAATTCCGCAAGAGAAGTGGCATCCACAGTATGATGAGACATGGTGAGGCTTCCAGTTCTGCCAAGGCAAGAAGCCTACAGTAAGAAATGAATGAATTTTGCGGAATTCATGAAGCCAGGACACATTGCTCAACAAGTGTTCAACTGTAATAAAACAGGGCTGTTCTGGAAGATGCCAAACAGAACCTATATAAAGCAAGAGGAAAAGGCACTGCCCAGGCACAAGCTCATGAAGGACAGATTGACACTTTTGCTGTGTGTGAACACAAGTGCCAATTTGAAGATTAAGCCTCCACTAATATACCATTCCTAGACCCCTTGTGTATTTAAAGAACAGAATATGAACATGACCAGACTGTCTATCATGTGGAGGGCCAATACAATTGGGTCACAAGGCAATTGTTCATGCGATAGCTGCATGAGGTGTTTGTACCCACCATTAAGAAATATCTTTCTGAAGTCAGTTGCCTGAAAGGTATCTTCTGAGGGACACTGTCCTGGCATATCTTCCAGCATTGGTGGATGATATGGATGTTGTGTATTAACTTTACCAATACAACATGTCCCCCTAACACAACACCTTTCTTGCAGCCCATGGGCCATCAAGTGATCTGAAACTTTAAGAAGCTGTATACAAAGGTGCTCTTCATTGGATGTTTTAATGTCACTGAAAAGATGTCGTTGACTCTGAAAGAGTTCTGGAAGAAACATGTTTATGTCCTCCACTGCATCAACATCATTGACAAAGCCTGGGAAGATGTCATGTATTGGATCTTAAACTCAGCCTGGAGGAAACTGGCCAGAATGTGTCACTGAACATGACTTTGAAGGGTCTGATACACAGGTGGTGGAGGAGATTGTGTCCATGGGCAAGAGTATGGGTCTGGACGTCGATGGTGCAGATATAGAAGAGCTCTTTGAAGACCATAAGGAGGAGGTGATGATGGAAGACAGCAGAAGGCACTTGTTGAGGAGCATTCTACTGAGGAAGCGGAAGACAGGGAGGAGGTTAGCAGTGACTGATGTGATAAAATCCATTGTGGAAAAGTGAAATGAGTCCCAGGATTTATTTGAGAAACACCATCCCAACATTACCATAACGAATAGAGTGCTGAATCTGATCAAGAATAACGTGGCCTCTCATTTCTGGAAGGTTACCAACACAGGAAAAAAACAAGTGACAATAGATTTTTCATCAAAAGTTGACCATGCAGCTAGAGACAAAGAGAGGAAACCTCTACAGGAGATCTCCCTGATGTTCTTATGGAGGAGGACTTTCCCTCCAAACAATAACCTCCTCCCCACCCACCTTCCTGTCCTCCATGACAGAAGTTACCTCAAGCAAGGTTAGTGCTGTCTCTCTTCATACTGTACTGTTCTGTATTTTGTTTCATGTTTTTGTGGTTAAAAAAATATATATGGTTCAGCATGGGTTAACCTTATTTACAAGGAACCTTATGGGAAAATTGATTCGGTTCGCGACCACATTTGTAGGGATCAGAACAGATTAATTTTATTTACCTTATGGGGAAATTTGATTTGGTTCACAACCAGTTTGATTCTTGACCAGAATTGTAGAATGAATTAAGTTCGTCAACTGAGGTACCACTGTATTTAAGGTCCTGTTAATTTAATGAGAATTTCATCTAATAAGACTTAGGCTTCTGTGTAGAGATACTGCTTTAAGGGTATATACACAGGCTGGACACTTAGCATTCTTTTGCTCCTAGATTTAGTTCAGGGAATTTGGAATCCAAAAATTTATCTGAAACATCTTAAGTGCAAATTCTTATAGCATAGGTCCAGAGAAGCTAATATTTGTCACCCCTTCCCCCTTGATTAGCAGTGCCTATTTCTTTTACAAAATGTTTGGTTTCAATGGTACAGTATATTTTGATCATAGAAGCCTGGCATTTGGTTCTTAGGATATTAAAAAGTTGTCTTAGCAGAACACTTGGGCATTACATAACATGCTTTTGGAACACAGTGAGTATTTTGAGAGCAAAGAAAATATTTTAGAGGGGACGTGGCTCAGTGGTATAGCACTTGCCTTGCATGCACCAAGGCCCTAGGTTCAATCCCTAGCACCACCCAAAGAAACTGTTTTAGAGAGATACTTCCTAGCAAAGTTTTTCTCTCTGAAGACTTTTTATTCTTTGAAAGATGCTAAATATTTTTCTAGTCTTGTTTTTGTTTCCAGCATATATAGAATTTGAGGGAAAGGAAACTAAATAAAAATTCTTTCTGGATATAGAAGTTTCCCAAAAAGTCTTCCTAGGCAATTTTCTTCTAATTCCTTTAGAACATGAACATGGCAAAGAACATGAACAAGAATGCCATGACCAGCCTGGGATATAGCAAAATACATTGCAAAGTGGTTTTTCTGTATAAACATAGTGTTCTTTAAAACCTAGTGCTGGCCAGGCGTGGTGGTACACGCCTGTAATCCCAGCACTCCAGAGGCTGAGGCAGGAGGATCTTTGCAAGTTCAAGTCCAGCCTGGGCTACAAAGTGAGCTCAAGGCCAGCCTGAACTGCATAGGGAGACCCTGTCTCAAAAAGACCAAGAAAACAAAAACAAAAAACCTAGTGCTGCACTGAAAGGATTTAATGATCTTGTAATGTTTGAAAGAATTTATCAGCTGGCTCTTACATAATTATGGTGATGAGAAGCACGTGACAGGCTACTAAATAGGGAATAAAACATTGAAATTTTAATAATGGCAGTAATTTGGTATCAAAATTAAACATTTAATATAATACTTGTTTTTCCCATGTTTGCTTGTCCTGGCACTGTTAATTAAGGAAATGGGTAACTTTATAAATTCTATTCTTAATGTCAGGTTTTGAGGCTGGATTTAAGAATGAAGAGAATCCAAAACGGGATATTTCTGAGGAAATGCAGCTCCACAGGACATTAATTGCAAGATCTAAAAGGAAAATTCCCTGTCATCTTAATCAAAGTAAAGGCAATGAGAGTGACTATAGATCGGGAAGACAGTGGGAAAAGACCCCAGGGGAGAAAAGAGGAAAACTGGCCCTCTTACAAGAGAGTTTAGGTAAAGTCCTAAGTCATCAGAGACCATACTTGGGAGAGAGACCCTACAAATACCTCATATGTGGCAAAAGCTTCCGCCCAAACTCCTGTCTTATGAGTCAGATAGCCCATCAGGTAGAAAATCCATACATATGTGCCGATTGTGGAAAAAGCTTCAGTAGGAGTGAACGCCTGATTAGACACCGAAGAATCCACACTGGAGAGAAGCCTTACAAGTGCCTTGACTGTGGGAAAAGTTTTCGTGATAGCTCAAATTTCATCACTCATAGAAGAATCCACACAGGAGAGAAACCTTATCAGTGTGGTGAGTGCGGGAAACGGTTCAATCAGAGCTCAAGCCTTATAATTCATCAGCGAACCCACACAGGAGAAAAACCCTATCAGTGTGAAGAGTGTGGAAAAAGATTCAATAACAGTTCTCACTTCAGTGCACATCGGCGGATACACACAGGAGAGAGACCCCATGTGTGTCCTAACTGTGGAAAGAGTTTCAGTAGGAGTTCTGACTTACGTGCACATCATAGAACCCACACTGGAGAGAAACTCTATGGCTGTCATGATTGTGGCAAGTGCTTTAGTAAAAGCTCTGCCCTTAATAAGCACCGGGAAATCCATACACGAGAAAAGCTTCTGTCACAGCCAGTGCCTAAGTAAGCCCCCAAAGGAAAGAGCCTCTTTTTTTATGTATTGTTTGGAATGTTCCAATAGTGACAGTCATCTCCTGTTCTGTACCAAACTGGCTTAGGAAGAACTCCTTAGAATTTACAGCAATGTTTGTTTCTTATGCTTTTCCCAAGACAGTCGTTTTAGTAATGAAAAGATTAGCTGGGCATGGTGATGCATGCCTGTAATCTCGGCACTCAGGAGGCTGAGACAGGAGAACTGTCACAAATTTGAGGCCAGCCTTGACTACACAGTGAGACCATCTCAAAAAAAAATGAAAGAAAGAAAGAAAAGAGAAAAATTTTAGTCCTTCTCTGTCTGCATCTGAACTGAGGGGGGCATCTTTTCCTTCTCAGTATTAGTGGTTCCCTTAATAGACAACATAGTAGTATATCCTGTGAATTTACTTATCCTGTCAGTCAGTTGTATTTCAATCAGAAAAACCCTTTGCAGCATTTCAGGGAGAAGCTGAGACTTGGCTCCTTAAGCAGATCTCATTCTTCCTCAGTATAGTAATGGAAATGTTGAACGGAATGACCCTTTCTGTTTACTTAAGCCTATGCTCAGAATGACATATTTGTCATGCATATTTTTTATTTACCATAAAGAAACAGAGTTTTAGCTGGGCGTGGTAGCACCCTTCGGCAATCCTAGCACTCAGGAGGCTGAGGCAGGAGGACCATTGCAAGTTTGAGACCAGCCTGGCCTACAAAGTGAGCTGAAGGCCAGCCTGAACTGCATAGTGAGACCCCGTCTGAAGAAGACAATAAATAAATGAATAAATAAATAAACCAAAGAAACAGATGTCCATGTTGGTTCTAGCCTATGAATCATCTTGTTAAGAACCAGGTGTTTCAAATGGGGAAACAATATAATGTGTAAATACTGGATTTCTTAGTTTTTTCCAAATCCTAGAAAGGTTGGAATAGAATAATACTACATTTATAACATCTAGTTTGATTTTTCTTTTTGTCCTGAATTTCATCTGACAAGCCAGCTGGATATGGTATTACGGAAAGAAATTTAAGCTGTCATCAGGGAATCATCCATTTTCACCATACTCTAAACTCCTAGTATAGTGTTATGCACCCCATGAGTGCTCAGTGCTAACATTCAAGGAGTAGAAGACACTGCCATGTTCCCAAGTGTGGGAAAAATGGGCCAGTTTGTGTCAACAACCCTCTACCAGAATGGCAGGGAGGATGAGAATATCTTTGATCAGTGGACTTGCCAATCTACACACACTTAGCTGTGTACAATTAAAAGCAGCTCTTCAAATATAACTGTGATCACTAATCTTTTTAATACAGTACTGAATTAGCTGTTCATTGTAATATGATACGAACCCATGTAGTACAAGTTCAACAGACTCTTACAATCAAAAATAGATTATACGTAGAGAAGTTCAAGTGTATAGCTGTAACAGTTGTAGAGAAATCTAGAAAGCTAGGTAGTAACACTGCATAGATGTTAAGGTCCAATGCATTAGAGTTTGCTGAAAGAAAAATCTGGGAATTTTTTTCAGGAAGTAAAAAGTATACAAAAGAGGGAACATTACTGAATAAATCAGGGTAGAAGGAACTTTTACCTAGTTGCAAAGTTGAGCACTGGGTGAGTGAAAAATGAAGTACCAAAGGACAAAATTAGACTATAAGGAAAGTCAGGTAAAGTCTGAAACAGCAAAAACTTGGTAAACAATGCGATTTGAGCTCTGCAGGGGGCAGAGAATCACCTTTGCAGAAACATGGAGTACTAGATGCAGACCAGGAAATGGTCCACGTGTCTACGTTAACCAAGTACTCTTGTACTTACTGGTAAAAAAACCAGCTGGCAGGCCCTGAGGGAAAATGGACAGTTTTAGAAGACTAGCTGTTTTGGGAGAGAAGAAGTCAGAAACTAGTATCTACTAAAGACATAGTACTTTGATGGGCAGGTCAAAGGAAAGGTGAATATGACCAGATGGCCAACACTTGGGATAAATAACTTCCACATACATATTTGTAGTTGGAATAAGATCTGGGAGAGCACTAAGGAGATGGAGTTCTATAATTCATAGCTGTGTTAGATGAGATTATAATTTGAATTCTTGTGAAGAGTCCTAGTAATATAAGAAACCACTTAACGTTTGTTAGCAGTTAAGGGAAAATCTTAAGAAACACCAGTCTGAAGAAATGCCTGAGGATCTGAGATAGTTTAGGAAGTGTGTTGTCAAGAAAACTAGTATCAGGGCCTGCCTGGTAAGGACAAGGTCCTGAGTTTGAATCCCAGTACCAGAAAAAAATACTAATGTCAAGAAAAATGAAATTATCTTTAGTACATCTGCATATAGTCTTGTGGAAAAAGTACTCGTTGGGTATCAGCAGATACAAATTCAGGTTTCAGATGTCTTATATGTAAGTCAACCTGCCTGTTTTCCTTTCTGCATAGCAGACTAATGTTTACACCTAATCTGCCTCTCAGGGATACTATGTTAATAAAAATCATGTCTATGAAGTGCTGGGTGTTTCTTTGGGTCTTTTTATATATATGCAAATTATTGTGATCAAGTTGTTCACAGAAGAAAAAGATAAATGTCCATCTGCTTTTTTTGGCTTCCTGCGCAGTGTTAATTAGAAATATGCCTGTGTGAATCTTTGTTCTAGCAAGAGGAACAAATTACAATGTAGTAGAAGAAAAATTAGAATGAAAATCCTTTCTTTTTGAATCCATAATCACAGTCCATTAGGACCCCTGTTATTTGAAAATATCCAGGTCCAGCCCTTCAATCCTCAGACGAAGAGAATATGCAAAAAGAATAGGACAACAGCAAACTCTTACCAGAGGAAGACCCAGTTCATCTCAAACTAGCTCAACAAGCCATTAAACGGCACCCCACCTGCCATTCATGAGGATGGAAAGAAGCAAGATATACTGTCATCAAACATTCTAGGAAAGAGAAACCAATGCCACAACTGAGGGAGCAAAAAACATAGGCACCCTTAATCTTTTAATATCCATAAAACCATTGTGGGAAGAAAGAGGGACATGTGTAGCAAATAGTCATATTTCTTTTCATTAGATGTTTCCTTGTGCTGCTACTCATTTTTCAGTTTCCCCATACTACCCTTTGTCCTTTTACTGCTTGTCCTCTAGAGCTAACATTATAGAGCCTAACATTTATATGTATTCCTTGTGTTTTTACCATTTCTCATCTGTTTTTTTTTTTCTCATCTGTTGTAATCTGAGTGTAGAGGCAGAGTCCTATCAACTTTGTAATAGCTGTTTTAGGGGCGTGTGTGTGTGTGTGTGTGTGTGTGTGTGTGTGTGTGTGAATATATATAGGTGACCACGTAGGGAAGGGAAGATAAAGTCAGAGTGTAAAGATGGATCGATTCTCACTTAAATCTAAAATGAAAACTTTAGTCCTATATACTCAAATAGCTATCTAATGACACACATCTCAAAAGTTTTAACATACGTTAGAGTATTCACTGAAGCAACAGTGCTTAAAAAGTATTATGTTTTGTAATGTATTTACAATAAATTTTAGAAACGTAAAATTTCTCTTTTACTATACCCACCATGTGGCTCTTTCAGAAACAACTTTGGAACAACTGGCAGTCAGGTTAAAGGCCTGAAACAAAAGGCCGGAACGTACTAGCACTCAAGAAGGGTCTGGCCAACATAGCTCCTCTGTGGTCAATAAAGATAGAATAAGATGTGAACACTGAAATATGTGTGTGCATTTGTTTGTGCTTGCCCTGATTTGGGGTGGGCAGTTATTCATTCAGTAAAAAATTAAAGTAAAAAATTACTTTCCAAATAGGAAAGTAATTTTAGTCTTGCATAGTGAGATCCTCAAATTACTTAAGTAGCATTCAGTTTACACGTTTTATTGACATTTACTCTAAACACAGTACAGCTAAAGGATATTCACTTCATTCTACAGTGAGGTCTATATTCCAGTAACTCATGCTATGGGCCACGAAGCACTTTGATGTTTCTTAGATCACACAAATCTCTGGTTGCCCAAAGTTGACATTTGAGAATTTTTAACATGTAAGGAAGTGACATTTAATAGATTAGGGTCAAGTTCCAGTTAACTCAGTGGTAGTGGTTTTAATGTGGAACTAGTATAGGCAGAATTAAGCTGCATTTTGTTCAGCCCCACGCAACTCTTGGCTTCTGGGTTCATTTGTTGTGTAGATAAGAGACAAGTTATATATGCTCTTAGCAATGGGGAAATTCCACTTTTTGGATTCTCATCCTGGAGAACATTCCTTGATTTTCCTTATTTCCAATAAAAAAAAAAACCTCCTAATTTCAAAAACAAAACAACAAAAGGGAAGTAGCCACTACAGTGGGGAGAGGGGCTTTGATGATTAGAAGGGGATGTGTGCAAAGGGGATGTATTCATCTAATAGAATGAATAGAAGGTGAGAATGTTTTTCAAAATGCCAGACCACTGAAAGAATCCAGGAAATAAAGTACCAGAAGGCCTATTCCAATTATCATATATGTAGTTTTTATTTGTAACTTTTTATCTTGATGAAATTTTAAATGTACAGAAAAAGTTCCAAGGGTACAAGAAAGTCCTGTATGCCTAGAGTCACCATTTTGTTCATTTGATTTTCATTGTGTATATATTTATATGTACATCTATATACACACAATATATACACATATATACCTATATGTCTATATACACATACCTATATATATATATCTTTTTTCTTTTTGAGACAGGATCTAGTTCAGGCTGGCCTTGAACTTACGTCGATCCTTCTGCCTCAGCCTCTTGAGTGCTGGGATTACAAGTGTGCATCACCATGCCTGGCTACCAATGTATATTTTTTTATACAATCACTTGAGAGGCAGTTGGAAACACAATGCCCTTTTCTCCTAAATACTTTATATTGTGTATTTCTTAAGGAACAAGAACATTCTTTTCAACAACCTCAGTGAGGAAAATTTAAAAAGTGAGGAAATTTAAAATTGATACAATACTATATATACTCAATTTTATTGTTTTGTGGTTTTTTTGGTCTTTTTGAGACAGGTTCTCACTATACAGTTCAGGGTGGCCCTGAGCTCACTTTGTAGCCCAGGCTGATCTCAAACTCGCAGTGATCCTCCTGCCTCAGCCTCCCGAGTGCTGGGATTACAGGTGTGCGCCATCACGCCCAGCTTGAACCCTGTGTTTTTTTTGACCAACACTTTTTTTTCAGTACTGGTGATAGAGCCCAGGGCTGCATGTACGTACTCTTACAACTGAGCTACTTTCTCACTTCAGGCTGGTCTCAAACTTGGAATCCTCTTGCCTCTCAGTAGCTAGGATTACAGTTGTGCACCACTGCAATCAGCTCCTTTACATTTTTAAAGAGTATTATGTTAGTATGTATATATGTCTTACACAGGTGTACACCACCATGCTCGGCTATGACTGCATTTTTGGCATAGATACAATAAAAGGGATGTTGTGTCTCCGTTCCTGCATCATTCAGAAGGCACATGTTTGTCCCAATATTGATGTTGACTTTATTCCTTGGCTATGGTATGTTTGCCTGGTTTCTTCATTGTAGTTATATTTTCCCCTTTTATAATTAATAATATATGGGGAGTACTTTTAGACAATAAAGTACTGTTCCTCATTAAGCTTTTATCCATTAGTTTAGCATCCATTAGATAATTAAACTCAGGACCTTTACACTAAATTATGTTCCCAGCTCTTATTTTTTAAGATGAGGACTCCCTAAGTTGCTAAGTTGTCCATGCTGGGCTCAAACTTGGGATCCTCCTGCCTCAGCCTCCAGAGTGACAGGACTACAGACAGCAGGCACCACCATGCCTGGCTATCTGTTAGATTTTCTAACTCCTTTTTCTTATAATATATGCTAGTCTGTTATAAGGAACAGCATTATCTTCTTTCCTATCTACTTTTATTAGTATGAACTCATGGATTCTAATTTTAATGAGTTAAAAATCCTATTGCTATCACTTTGATACTCAAACTGTCTGTCAGAGCCTCCTCAAATTAGCTCTTCTGTTCTTCTGTCCTTCGTGCACTTCTTTATTTTCTGATCCAACAAGGTACTATAGCTTCACCTTGTCCTTTCTCTGCCATTTTACCAGCCTTTTCTTCAGTTAATTTTTGTATACTGATCCCATATCCTGTGATCTTGCTAATTCACTTCTTAGTTCTAATATTTTTTGTTGATTCCTTAGAACTTTCTATTTAAATCATCATGTACCTGTGAACAGAGACACATTTTCTTCTTTTCTAATCTTTTCTTCTTTTACTGCTTTTCTAATCTTATTACACTAGCTAGGAGTACTAGTTCAATACTCGAGCAGTGGGTAGAGTAGATGTCATTTTTCTTATTACAGTTTTTTTTTGGAAAACATTTAATACTTTATCAATTTTATTTATTTATTTATTTTTGAGACAGGGTCTCACTATGTAGTTTAGGCTGGCCTTGAACTCACTATGTAGCCCAGGCTGGCCTCAAACTTGAGGCAATCCTCCTGCCCCAACTTCCCAAGTGCTGGAATTACAGGCATGTAGCACTATGCCTGGCGCTTCATTAAATTTTATGTCAGCTGTAATTTGTCACAAATTCTCTTTATCAATGAATCCACATAATTTAAATTCTGGAAACTCAAACAGGAAACTTTTTTTTTTGGTACTGGGAATCGAACTCAGGACCTTGCACTTGCCAGGCAGGTGCTTGTGCCACTGAGCTATATCTCCAACCCACAAAGAGAAGACTTTATACCTTCTTCACCTTCCCAACCTCACGTAGGCTAGCATGACTTTTATAATGTGAAAACAAAGCTAATAAATTAAAACTGCCCTCCTTACTAGCTTTGGTATATATGAAACAAAATAAGCGACCATAAATTTCTTTGTAACCACATTTTTCACTGAACAGGTTATCATATACACTTCCATGTCATTAAATTTTATTCTACTTTTCTTTTTGTGTATGGTACTGGGATTAAACTCAAGGCCTCACATATGCTAGGAAGTGCTCTACCACTGAGTTACATTCCAAGCCCTTTTTAAATTTTAAATTTCAAGACAGGGTCTCACTGCATTGCTAGGCTTGCCTTGAACTTGTGATCTCTCTCTGAGTCTCTTGAGAAGCTGGGATTCCAGGCATATGCCACCAGCTTCCATTTTTAACTCAGCTTCTATCACTTTAACTTTTTTTTTCCTCTTTAAAGCTGTTGTAATTCCACAGCAGTATTCACTTTGTCATCACCCAAGAGATCCTTCTAGTAATGGCAACATCATAGTTACTAGCGTTTTTTGGGTTGCATATAACCCCACTATGGACCACTGGCACAGGCTTACATAAACTCTCATACATACTACAGCTACTTTGGCTGAAGGGACAAAATAAGATCATTTCTCAAGAGTTAGAATTTATTAGGTATCAAGATATGCTTTCATTGCTTTGCTCCAGAGAACAGACACAACCACAAAAAGTATAGAGCTGTTGTCAAAACCTAGTAGGTTTAAAGGTCTTTGCAACAATCTGTTTTCCCCTTTTTTCTTTACCTTAAACTAGTAATTTGAAAACTTTTCCTGATAAGCAACTGCTGATTTCCCTGACATTTTATGATCACTAATGAGGAAAGATCACTAAGTTAAAAAACACCTAGTGGAATGGGGAAACCAGTTTCTTCCAGTGAGCAGCAGAGAAGTAAAGCAATGTAAGACCTCAGGGCCTGCTAGTCAGTTTAAGACACATTTACCAAGCACCTGCCATGTGTACAGTGTAGTATTTGGCTGCTGTGTTTCAAAGGAAGTGCTGGACAGTTTACTGAGAAGGATATGGCAGGAAAATCTTGCAACATATACTCAACAGTAGTTCACCTTACTATAGTTTAAAAGTGTAACACTCTGGGCTTTAGATGATTCCACTTCTTCCTCAGTTCAGATCTGGTGCTGTCAGAAGCAAAGATGTAGCTGATAGACTCATAAGACAGATCCCACACCTGAGACTGGGTCAATTTAAATGTTTCAGCTGCCAGCTGGTACTCTTGAGAAAGGGATGTTGCAAAAACACCCTTATCATCAGTCTGCAAATACAAATAAGAATGTTTCAAAATAAGGAAATGATTTTTTTTAAACTAACTTTTTTTGTTTAGAATATATTTTGTTTGGAATATATTTTCCAGGGGCTGGGGAGCACAAGGGCCTGGCAAGCACAAGGTCGTGAGTTCGATTCCCGGTACCAGAAAAAAACAAAAAAAACAGAAACAAAAACAAACAGAATATATTTCCCCACTTACCATGCTTCTCTTTAAGAGTCTTAATGGAGGCTATAAAATATGGGTCTATGCATATCTATAACTAGGGACTTTTTTAATACTTAAAAAAATACCAGAGCAGTGTTTCAACCTTAGATGCATATTAAAGTCACCCAGAAAGCTTTTAAAACACCCATGCTCAGGGCTCACCCTAGGTCAAATAAAGCAGAATCTCATGGGATGGAAGGTGAGCATCAAATTGCCCATATAATGTCCAGAACCCCTTCCCACAGAGCCACGCCAAAATTGCCCTGATCCTCTGCAGCCTCCAATGGTCCCATACTCTGTAATTCCTCTTCCTGGGCATTACCCTCAGGTACTCTAGGCAGTCAGCTAGTAGTGAAAGTGTGACCCCTTCCAATGCAGCAAATAAAAAGGAGCAAAATAGTTCACATAAAACACCTTACACAGATCACAGATGGATGAGCAATGCTGTACCAGAATCCAAAGTGATGCTGGTCGTAAGATGGAACTGTCTGACTTTTGATGTTTGAAGTCAAGCAGAGTTCTAGATGAAAGTGGAAAAAAATCTCGTAGTAAACTCAGGTAAGTGAACTCATTCAATGTTCATCAAGCAGACTCATGAGAAATCTTTCCAAACCAAGCTGATTTGCACTATTATTGCTTTTACAAACTTGATCATTTCCTTATATGTGATGTGAAAAGCTGTGGTTCAGTTAATGTAGTTGTCCAGGAAGAATGTGCCTCTCAACTGTGGCAGCATCTGTACCAGCAAGGAATTAATATGGTCTTCCCAGCCAGATGCTTCCCTGTCTTTTACCACAGTGGAGAGGGATGTTGCAAGCCAGTCATGATTAAGGCAGGGAATTATCATGAAAGGAAAGCAGAAGCAGGTATTTTTGTTTTTATTTTTTACCATACTGGGGATTGAGCTTCATCCCTAGCCCTATTTATTTATTTACTTAGGCATTTATTTATATAGTTATTTTGTTTTTTGAAACAAGGTTTCACTTTGTAGTGAAAGTTGTTCAGGCTGGCCTTGAACTCACTAAGTAGCCCAGGTTGGCCTCAAACTTGCAGTGATCCTCCTGCCTCAGCTTCCCAAGTGCTGGGACTATAGGCATGCACATGAAGCCCAGCTTATTTTTTATTTGAAACAGGATTTTACTAAATCACTGTCTTAGTTACTTTTTTCTTGTTGCTGAGACAAAATACCCAATACCCAAAGTTAAAAGAGGAAAGGTTTATTTAGCTCACAGTTTAAAGAGGTTTCAGTTCATTCTTAGCTGGCTCCAAGGCACATAGCAGAGGGGCCACAGTTCATGGCAGCAGAATACAACAATGGCAGTGGGCTCAAAACAAGCCTTTCTGTCCCTTATATTGTATCCAGTCTACTGGGATTAGGATGACGCCAATCCAGTGAGTGTCCTGATTCAGCAATCACCCACCCTTAAGCCCAGTACTGCACTTCGAATCAATCACAAACTCTACATTCAGCCACCTCCGAAAAAACTCTATGACCTCGTGAGGCCTTGGGGGAACATCTACACACAACCGTTAACAGTCACTAAGTTGTCCAGACTGGGTTTGAACTTGTGGTGCTGCCTCAGCCTCCCAGAGTCCTGGGATTACAGGTGTGTACCACCATGCCCAGCAGTAAAGGGTTTTTGAAGACCTACTGCAATTCCTCCTAGTCTTACCCTGGAGACCAAAACAAGGTAAGAAAATGGTAGTACTGCTTGAAACTCACAGCACTGCGAAGAGCAAAGAATGGGCATGGACTTTCCCACAGCTTCTAAGAAAACCCTCCGTTCCCTGTTGCTTCTAGGTAAGTCTAGTTTAAGAATGACTTTTACTACTAACAAACTCCTACCTGAAACACTATGCATGTCTCCACAGTAAAATGCTTCAATAACTTAACCAATACTCTCTGCTCACTTAGGCAAGGCAGCCTTAACACAGGCCACTCAGTCCAAGTGGTGCCCTTCACTCTGTTGGGAGCAGGGCTGGGCCACCACACCACATTAAGATCACTATGAAAGAGCTCTGTGTTCCCTCTCCTTTTGTAAATGTTTAAAAATCTTAGTAAAAAATTTTGCACTAATGAATTGCTAAAAACCTCTACAAGTAGTTAAAAACATATAGTCACACAAATATTTTCATAAATTAGTGAGTTTATAAATTTAGCAAATTGACCATTCAGTAAAATGGTTTGCAGCCAATCACTTCTTTCCCTCTTACGGAAAAACTTTCCCTTTCATTCATGGGAAGTGGTTATCTGATCACTCCTGTGTTAGCCTGTTTAATTTTCTTCCCAGAATTCAACACTGATATTTTCTTGTGTATTTATTTATTGTCTTTCCTCTGCTAGACTATGAGTTCCTGAGAAAGAAACCCTGTTTGTTCACTGCCTTATTCCCAGCAATTAGAGCAGTGATTTTAACAGTAGGTACTTCATAAACATGTAATGATCAATGGATATGTAAAAATGTATTTGGAATTTTCTGTAATTCTAAATTTTAAAATAAGTATTACATATTTTCACAACATATGTTAATTTCATTAAAGTCAACTTCAAAATTTTCGATAACCCTTATTTCTTCAGAAAAGAACTACTGAGTTCTAAGCACTGGAGATTGTAGCAAGAAAAGGCACACAGGCAGCCTGCTCTCAGGGAGCTCATATTCTAATGGGAGCTGAAATTTTACTTAAATGAGGCTCAGAAAGCACATACACCATGTCTTTGACTTTCTGAATGATACTTATAATTTTAACAGCACTTCTTCACTTCCAGCTTGCCACCTAGGGCTGGGTAGCAAGGCTTAGGGGCTGCTGTCTAGGAGACCTGAAACCCTTACCCAGAGGTATCCGATGCTGCCCCACAAAGTTCACCAGATCCAGGGATCCTCTCTCAGAGGAGTTGAGAAATGTTCCATGCCCAATCCTGTCAGGAAGGAGATCCAGGAGCATCTGGGTTTCTTCTTTTTGATTTGGAATCTTCAGAAAAGTGAGAAGTGGGACATCAATGAACTCTTATAGTGGTTCTTGAAGTACTGTTTTCTGTAGTGGTCCCCTATCCCTCTGAGTAGTTAATGCAGACATTTTTGTGCGTGTATTTTGTTCTGAGATAAGGTCTTACTACATAGCTCACATTAGCCTTGAACTCATGGCCTTCCTCCTGCCTCAGCCTCCCAAATGCTGGGATTACAGGGATGAGCTACCATGCCTGGCTTGACATTTTTAAACTACTCATACTGCTTTCCCAGCTTTTGTCTTTGCCTCTGCTTTGTTCTTTGCTTTTATTTTATTTTTTACGCTTTCTTTGTTGGTGCTGGGATTGAACTCAGGGCCTCCCACATACCAAGCATAAACTCTACCACTGAGCTATACCTTCAGCCCCTTCTGCCTTTTATCTTCTCATTCATTCCCCAACACTCTTCTAAATTCATGTTAGTAACAATAAAAACTTACCAAGTACTTATTTTGTTTCTTTTTCACATCTATTCCTTAAGGCCGCACAAGAATCTTATCAGGTGTTAAGATGACAAAATTAAAGCTCAAAGAAAGTTATTTTCAAAAATAAAAACAAAATCCTACAACTCTGTGTGTTCTGCATTGTATGCATGTGTTCATATATATTAGAAAAAGGTCTAGAAAAACAGACAAAACTGTCAACAGTATTAACTCGGGGGTAAACAGGAAGGGAACATCACATTTTAAAAAAAAATTCTGTATTATACTTCCTTACAGTTATGATTTAGATCAAGACCCCTTAAAGGTCTCATGCACTCATAGACGGGGCTTTTGGAAGGTGACTGGATTATGGGGACACTATACCAACTTGTTGCTAGGAAGTGACTAGGATTAGAGGCAGGTCATCTGGGACACAACTCAGAAGGGTACATCTACCTCCTCAGGCCTCCCTTCTCTCTCTGCTTGCAAGCCCACATGATGTTAGAAGCTCTTCCTCTGTTAGGCCCTTCTGCCAGGTTGTTTTCTGCCTTGGAGCCAGCCAACCATGGGCCATAACCATGAGCCAAAACAAACCTCTTCTAAATTGTGTGTGTCAAGTATTGTGTCTCAGTGACAAGACAGTGACCAAGACACCTACACTTGAGATTTCTTCAGGTACATAAAGTATTTTTTAAAAAATTGTCCAAGGTCATAGGACTAGTGAATAGTAGAGATGGGGTAAGATTTAACTCCATCTGACTCCAAAGCCCAGACACTTCCCACACCATACTCATGTTTTATCTTGACAAGGCTAGCTACAGACATACCACAGTTGCCATGAAAATGTCTAGCTGTGCTCTTTTTCTCTTACACAGCCCCAAAACAAATGCTTAGAACATCTTGAAATGCGATTATTTTATATCTGATGGATCAAACAAGCAAAGCAACAGAAACTAAGGTAAATGGGTTCCAATGCTGTTCACAGGCCAGAGATAACTTGTCACAGTAACACATGCTGTTCCACTGTACTGACTGGTGGCTTCTATGCGGCATCACCTAGGTCAGCTAGAACATGTCCTATGAGTCTGTTTTATTACACTGTGGAAACATGGACTGTAGATTTTAAGTTCTGTCACTAGATTAGAGATTACTGACCTGCTTACAGGCGTGAAACAAGTACTGGCAAGAGGTTCGAATTTCTTGCTTAATCTATGCCATGATGGTACTCAGCCCTTTCACATTACCCCATTTCATATTCACAATAACTTTATGAAAGTACAGTAACTCTTATTTTCTGCATATAAGGAATAGCTAAAAATACTGAGGTAGAAAAAATTAATCTATAAATAAAAGGAAAAAAGCAACAGAGGTCCTTGTTTGCCTCACAGGGATGTGCTTAAGAAAATGTGTGTTTCTAGCTGTTATCCAGATGCTCTCACTGTCCCCTTGGTGCCCTGGAGCTGGGAAACAATGAAGAACACTAGATTTCCTTTCTAAGCTCCCTACTCCCAACACTAGGCCATATTAGGTTTTATTTTATGATGATTAGCTATCTTATTGCCAGTGTATGTGACATATTTAGGTCTGTCCCACTATGAGGACAGGTGAGGTGAATTGGTGCTTTTCTTAAGAGTCAGCTTGTGAATGACAAGGCTGACGGTGAAAATTCATGCAGCTTCTATAGCAAGATGTCAGGAAGCTGTTTGTAATGACACAGCTGGAATTCAAGTCAACAGCCACTCCAAGGAACCACAAAAAGTTAAAAACAGTAACATGAGACACTAAAGTAAGTAATGTATTATCATTTTAATTTACATTTAAAAATAATTTTGTTCTTGCCCTTTAAAAATGTTTTCCCAAGCCAGGTTTATTTCTAGTTACTTGAAAACAACCCTCTTGTTTTCTGTCGTAGTCTGCCCTCTCCAGCCTAAGACAGCACTGCTTACCTCTGAAAGATGCAACGCCAACTTTAGGCCTGCTTTTTTAGCTTCTAAAAGTGGTTCCACAAAGTCTTTTGCTTGTCCTATCTTGAAAAGTTAAAATGAAAATGCATGAGAATTCCGGGCAAACTGAGGTACTAGGTATTCTGCTCCAACAAACAAAGGAGTAAAGTAACAGCAGAAACAAATAAAGAGACTGATTTATTTATTTTGTTTACGTAGCACCTACAAGGTGCTAGCTACTTTGGAGAATAAAATGCTGGCAAAGGCAGAGTCCCTGCCCTTAAGAATCTTTAAAGTCCATTATCAGTGGACCTTAGGTCCATCACCTAAGCTCAATACAGTTGTCACCAAATTTTATTTCTGGAAAGACACGTAGATATTTAGTGCTCAAGACACCTCATTCGATTCAGGAACCTTACATAAGCACTAAAAACTATTAAATAGGTAGATGAAACAGGAGCAGAACAGTTTAGGTTTGGATGATGCCATCAACACCAGCTTCATGGGCTTCTCTCACCCAGTGGTTTTCAACCAGGAACAATTCTGTGATCCAGGGGACATTTGTCAAGGTCTGAAGACATTTTTGGGTATCTTACTGGGAGAGTGCTACTGGCACCTAGTGGGCAGAGACTACAGATGCTGCTAAATATCCTGTAATGCACAGGGCTGCCCACAATATAAAAAATTGTCTGACCAGGAATATCAAGACTTCCTTTTCTTTTTTTTTTTTTTTGGTTTTTCTCCAGTACCGGGAACCGAACTCATGACCTTGCGCTTGCCAGGCAGGCGCTTTTGCCACTGAGCTAAATTCCCAGCCCCAAGACTTCCTTTTCAAACTTTCATTCAACAAGCTCCAGCCAACTTTTCTGAATTGGGGCTCCTATGAAATAATTCCTCTATTGTATATAATGAATTAACTTCTCTTTTGTACATTCACACTGGGATTACTTGTATACTATCTTTAACAGAATGGAGAAAATGGCCACATACAGTCAGGAAAATTTTTTTTAAGGTGCTTTATTCTTTCATAGAATCTTGGTTAAGAACAGCTGCTCTAAACATTCAGTTCATCCAAGGCAGAAAAGCATCTACTGGACCTTCTAGAGAATCAGGATGTTCTAAGTTAAGCCTCACCTCACTGATTTGACCTTTAAGAAATAAAATATTATTTAGGAAAAATAACTTACAGTAGGGTCTCCACTGAGGTCAAGGCCAAGAACTGTATCCTCGGCAGAAAGGAAGAACTCTTTAGCAAGTTTAACAGTCTCCTTGGCTACCGAAGAGCCACCTCTTCTGTCAATTGCTATCAAATACCTTTAATACAAGAAAATCAAAGTTGAAAACTATTATGTAGATGAAAAAGACAATTCTGAGTGTTGCTAGAGAGACATCAGAGCCTGCATGTAATATAGGTTACCAGGTAAAGTACAGCCTGAGTAGATAGCACATTTTATTTGCCAGACAGAATGAGACATGAATTCCTAAATACTAGTGACAAGTATCTAGCCACCGTTCAAATTTCCAGTTGTCTCATATTTGTTTTAGCGTGTCTTTTCCCAGTTTGAATCAGGATTCTAATAAGGCCCCATCTTGTGTTAGTCAACATACCTCTTAGGTCTCTTCTAACCTACAGTCACTCATTCTTTCCTGCCCTATCCTCTTTTCTTAGAATTTATTTGTAGCAAAAAAATAAGTTTGTCTGTCCTATAAACTTTCTCACAGTTTAGACTTGGTTGATTGTATCCCTGTACTAACATATTTCTTGTGCCTCTTATTATTCCAATAAATTGATCCAACTTAGACCTAGTCTGGAGGCTTAATCAGATCAGATTTAATTTTTTGACAAGAATAGGTAGTAGTACATTCTCATATGGCTCAGATTATTTCATTAGGGGTTACAAAATTGGTAATATTTTAATTCTAAAATAAATATCTCATACAAATTCATTCTCATATATTAACTACAATTTTATAGAACTCAGATACCACCCCTTCCCCCAAAAAACCCCTACTATTTTTGTGTGATTTTTCTCTAGCATTTATTAGTTTGGTTATTTATTCACAAAATAAATTCCTCCAGCATTTATTTACTTATTTACAAAATCTGGATCAACTATAGAGAAAAATCTTTCTTTTTTCATTCCATTTCCCATGCATTAAGTAGCATTACAAAATGGTATAAATCATATGAACATACCATAATGTAATTGTCCTCTGACTGATGGACATTTTAGGATTTTTAAATTTTTTGTTATAAACAATACTACAGTAGGAGTCTTATGTTGAAATCAATTCATTTTCTTGGGGTCCATTTGTAGACGAGAATTACTGATTTGGAAGAAAAAACTTGAAAACTTTGAAACATTCCTCTTTAGAAAGGTTTTATTAATTATACATGGCATGTTACAAATCAGCAGTGTATAATTTCACAAACTTGCACAAATTTTTATTTGTTTATTTGTTTTGTTTTGTTTGTACTGGGAATCAAATTCAGGACCTTGCACTTGCCAGGCAGGCACTTGTGCCACTGAGCTATATCCCTGGCCCTACAGATTTTTAAACTACTGAAACACTATAATATCTCCTTTTTAAGTCATCTGATTAATGAGGCTAAATATTTATTGACCATTTGTATATCTTCTTTTTTGCATTGTATTCTTGATTCTGACTTGGTTTTTATTGGGATATTAATCTAGTTAGGCCTAATTTTTAGATGTTCTTACAGCATAAAACTATACAGCTAGCTTCCTTGCTTGCTTTACTCAAAGTCTTACTAAGTCCTACTATGTGCCAGCTAAGTTCTATGTATTGGAAATAAAGTGGTGAATGAAAGATGAGGTTTCTGGCCTCTCTGAACCTAGTCTAGTAGGTGAGCATGTATAAAAATATAACACAAGACAATCCTTTATTCTGTTATAAATGAACACTACAAAAGAAGCGACATGGGTGGCCAGACACAATGTCCCAGCTACTCAAGAGGCTACGGTAGGAGGATTACTACCAAGTTTGATGCCAGTCTGGGCAACTTAGCAAGACTCTGTCTCAAAATAAAAGATGAAAAGGGATGTAGCTCAGCAGGAGAGCACTGCATAGCATGTGTGAGACCCTTACTTCTATCCTTAGTACCCATAAAAAAAGAGAGACAGAGATGGTGGGGGAGAGGAGAGACAGACATAGACACAAAGAAAGCAAGCAATGAGAAGCTATACTCCACTCAAAAAAACCAAAAACTTCAGGACTTTACTACCAGATGAATAAATTTACAATTCTCATCTTAAACAATAGAGTTCTTCACTTTTTGTATTGTAAGCAGAAATCAGTTACTGGTGATTTTTTAAACCCCATTCCATATACCTATAATCAAAACAATAAAAGTCCATGTTCTCATTTTTAAAATGCTAACTGTTAAGGTACAATCTTCTTACCTAACATCAATGTCCAGATTTTCTTGTTTGGACTGTTTTATACCCTCAAGTATGGATTCCACATAAGTCTTTTCAGTCATTCCTGGAAAAAACATAGAAACATGTCATGAGACCATCAACTATTTTATCCTCCAATTTTAGTATATAAGAAACCCTATATAAACATTTACTTTTTTACTTTATGTGACAAAGCATGATTTTAAGATGAGTAAAAACATGACCCTGAAGGGTACATTTTAGTAAATGAAATTGTACTTTTAATACAATAGAAAAAAGGAAATTTAAAAAACCCCACAGAATACAAACCCATTTTAAAATTACTCTTAATTCGACAGATGAAATTATTTTCACAAACTGCTCTAAAAATTTTATATGCTCATTTTAACAAAACCAGAACAACCATAAATCCTTTGCTAAGTCTTGCCCTTTAAGAGAAAAAGATAGATTTTTCTCTAGTACCAGGATGTTTGTTTGTTTGTTTACTGCTGGGAAAAAACAGTCTTACTGTGGGTTCCTTTCCCCTCAGCCCTGCTTAGGCTATTTCTCATCCAGAGGATCTGAGCTATTCTTCCGAGTTCAAGAGTTCAAGTCCTTTTCTGGAAGGCTCTGCAAGAACGCTCTCCAGAACAGCCTCCTGGAGCATACCCTCTTATATGACTACAATATGCTGATGCAGGATAGAAAACCTCTAGTAAAACACTGAAAATTATAAAGAAAAACAAAAATAACCTGTAATCTCTCACAGATAACCACAACTGTTTTTGTAAGTATACATATATGCACTTTAAATAGATGAGGTGGATACTAGATCTATATGGACCCTGTTCAGTAATTCAACACTGGTGCAGTATTTCTACATGCCATGAAAGTGTCTTTGCAAGTATTTTTAATAGTTGCAGAATATCCCATTAGCCTTTACTTAACTATTCCCCTATTGTGGCATACCCTTGTGAATCTCTATTTGAAAAGAAATGTAGCTTTACTAATTGGCAGGTTTCTTGTCTTTTGCTATCCTCACCAGCATAACTTGGAACTGATTTTGTAGTTCAAAAATGCAAGATAAGAATCTTGTCATTGTCTCATTTCAACAGTTACTGTAATAGTTTCAAGACATTAGCCTTCCCCTCAGTGATTACTGGGTTACACACAGTAGGGTTCAAGATGACTTAGGTTTCTTCAGGTCAACAGGGACCTGGTGATCCTTCATAGTATCTCCTCATGCTGCTCTTATGGAAGCATAAGCCTATGAAATTCTTCCAGACAACATACAGATCTGCTCATGTCCATCCAGACACTGTACAGCTTGCTCCTGTCCTAATAAACCACCAGTCCCCAAGGACTGAATGGCTGAATAAATTACACTTCAGTTGCCACAAAATATCATTCTGCACCCACCAATGGCAATGTCACACAAGTGCCCTTGATGTAGGTTGGCCTCTGCTTGAAACAATGCAACTATATGGAGCAAGTGTCCTTTTCTCAAAGTGACAAAACTAAACAAGGAAGAACAAAAGAAAAATTTGCAGGCCCTTATTCCCCCTTAGATAGATAGCTTTTTCTACATTTTACTTCAGAACTCACTTGTTAATAATGCACATCACTGATATATATCATAGGTTTTTTTCTGTTGACCAACAGTCTCCGTGAAAGTAGAGAACCACACAAGTATATGAAGTTAGTGCTTCATACTCCCAACTGACAAACACATAAGAGATCCAAGTACACAAAGAAAGGAACAGCAATTCACTGAGATGTAATTAGATTCTACCAGTAGTGTTCTCTTTTCTGGGTGTGCTCCTCAGTTCCAGGTACTTGACACCATCAGCAGCAAATTCTTTAATGACATCTTTTGTGACCTGAAAACAGAGGCAATTGTACGTAACATTGATAGTATCTGGGCAAGGGTCCCAGTGAAAACAGCAAGTGTTATAGCTTCATTAAATTTGATTTTCAAGGGATGCTGCAAGTCTCCCATGGGAGTACAGAGTGCTCACTTTGTCACACCCCTGATGGAGCCTATTACAGAGCTGCAACATTTCCGAACAACTCTCATCATCTGCCTCGTTTCCACATTTAATTGAAATCTGCATATCAACCATACCTTCCTGACCCCACCCTTTTGTTTAATCTTATTTTTTAAAGGTTGGCTATATTTCTTTTTATTTAAAAAAAAAATTTTTTTTTTGTCTTTTTGAGACAGAGTCTTGCTTTGCAGTCAGGCTGGCCTTAAGCTCACTTTGTAGCCCAGGCTAGTCTCAAACTCACAATGATCCTCCTGCTTCAGCCTCTCAAGTCCTGAGATTACAGACATGTGTTACCATGCCTGGCAATAGCAAATATTATTCCAGCCACAATCCAATTCTGTCTTTTTGCTATTATATCTAGGTCACCTTGACTACAGTTTCAAGTCATCTCAAACAGACTCAGAGGACACTAACAAGCAAGTAATCTTTTATACCTTATTCTCACAGATGTTTCATGTATCATATGGGGCACCTGTCATTCTCCAAACCAGTAGCACTAAGTCATACATACATAATCCTTACTGCTCACCTCATTTAAGACCTTTTCACCAACTTCTGTTTTGAAATCGATGAAGTGGTAAGGCTAGCGTTATTACAACCATGGTGTTGTAAAATTTCATCATTTTTCCCTGTAACACTCATCAACAAAGTGAGACCAAAGGCCCTGTTGTGTTTAATAGTTTCTATTGAGGGACTGATCCGAGACTACCCTTTCGGGTTTCTGAAAGTCACTGTGCACATCTCTAACATAATATTTGTTTTTTGGTTTTTTTTTTCCAGTACCAGGAATCGATCTCATGACCTTGCACTTGCCAGGCAGGCACTGTGCTGCTGAGCTAAATCCCCAGCCCATCTAACATAGCAGTTTACCAATTATGTTAAAGTTATCTGCTGACTGGTATGTGTGACAGTTAATTGTGTCAACTTGAGTAAGAAACAGCCAACTAAATTGGATCAGCATGGTTCTAGGTGTGGAAGACCCACCTTAGGGAGGGTTGTCACTAGAATGTTACAAAAGGGAAATGAAGAAGGCAGGCTCGCTTCTGTTTCCTCAGAGGAGCTCCAGTCCTCATCTTCACCTTGGAGGGCATCTGGCTTCCAGCATAGACCCTTCAGCCTCCTCTTACAGACTCACATGGGACACTACACTGAGCTCCAGGCCTTCGACTGGATCCTTTGGATCTCCAGTGCGCAGACAGACCTTTTGAGCTCTTCCACACCTTACTCTATGTGTAGCCACTGTAAGCCCATCTTATAAATTCTTATATGTTAGTATATCTTGCATTAAATCCATTTCTCTAGGAAGCATTGATCGATACAGTATGTCTCTATAACCTGACTATAAACTCCCCAGGAACAGGAACTATGTCTATCTCTCTTTATATCTAGAAGTTTTTGGCACAGTGTCTGGAACACTCTGACCACTCAGTCAGCCTTTGCTGAACTAAATAACTAGGGTGCTCTCCTCTAAAGATAATTAATATACTACTACTTATCACGAAGATCAGTCTTGGCCAAGGAGGAAAATTTTTATTGACCAGTCCAAAGTTAGTTCTCCAGAAACACAGGTTATACTTTTTTTTTTCCTAACAGTTAAGTATGGACAAAGTTTACTTCCTTCCACTTACAAAGACAGCATTGTAAAATGCCATCTTGAGGCTGAGTAAAGCACTTGCCTAGCACATGCAAGCTCTTGGGTTTGGTCCACAGCACTGGAAAAATGAGTAAGTAAAATAAAATAAAATAAAATAAAATAAAATAAAATACCACCCTGGTCAGATCAATGATACAGAAGTCAGTATTCAATGTCAGATTCTAGAATCATGGAGCTTCAGATAACATAGTGATGTCCTCCAGTCCCCAGAGGGAAAGCACAATTTTCCTAGGGATTAGCTACTCAATTTATAAGTACTTCATGAATTTCATTCTCTCCAATGCCCACTCAAAAGTTTCCTAAGGGACACAGATAAAGTCTTATCAAGGACGTGCCCATTTGATATCAAATATTTCATATGCTATGTCAGATACAGAAAACAGGACCAAACTTTTTCCTCCATATCATCCTCTTCCCATCTTGGTTCCTCTGCCTATCTTGGTTCCTTCTTCATATCTTTTACAATGAATATATATATAATTTTTTTTGTATTTTACCTCTTAGGCAATTGTTTCACAATGGTTTTGAAAAGAGGTGCCACAACAAAGAAGAAAACATTTTTCATCAGACTCCTGATGGAAGCAAAAGGTCACACATAACAGGAGAAGGGCAGCAGGGCATGGCAGCATATGCCTATAATCCTAGCATTGAGGAGGCCAGGGCAGGAGGATCACCATTCAAGTCCAACTTAGGCTACACAGTGAGTTCAAGGCCAACCTGAATACTACATAGAGACCTGTCTCAAAAATCCAAAACCAAAACCAAATCAAACCAAACAAAAAAACCCAGAAGGGCATAAATGACTTCATAATCTTTAAACCACTCTTAAATTTCTTTCATGTCTCACCATTAGAATATCTTCAGGGCAAGTAGTCAGCTGATGAATAATTTGAAACATCTGGAAACATCTGTAACATGAATAAAAAGTTTCAATATAATCCATTCATCAAAAACTTGTCACTTGGGCTGGGGATTTAGCTCAGCGGCAAAAGCGCCTGCCTGGCAAGTGCAAGGTCGTGAGTTCAGTTCCCGGTACCGGAGAAAAACCAAAAAAAAAAAAAAAAAACTTGTCACTTGAGAAACTCCCTAAACTGAATTAACTATTAAATTTCAGGCTAACAGGAGGTATATATTAAGATTTACAAAACCTTATCAGATGTTTTTTAAACCTTTTTTTCTGTTGTTTAGAATGGTAATCAAATGACTGAAAATTAAATGTTATTTATATTTTTAAGTGAGAAATAACAGTTCCCATTTTTCTGACCTCACCCTTGCAGTTTCCTCTGCCTGGGGAAAGTTAATATGCCTGTAGTTTCAAGTCTAGAAGAAACCAGTAACTTTGCCAACAGTATAATCATTAAAAATATGGTCAGTGGGCTGGGGATTTAGCTCAGCAGCAAAAGCGCCTGCCTGGCAAGCGCAAGGCCGTGAGTTCGGTTCCCGGTACCGGAGAAAAACCAAAAAAAAAAAAAAAATATGGTCAGTGTTCTGACAGTTAGAAAAAATCCTCTATGTTAAGTTATATTCTCACTGCAAGATATGGATTCTATTCCTTTTACCTACTAAAACCTGAATTTTTATATATTACTTACTATAATCTCAAAATACTAACAGACAAAAAAAAAAAAGTATTTCCTTAACTTCCTCAAACTCACTCTTCTAAAGTTCTTTTTTTTCCTTTGTCAATCATAGTCATTTGATTGTTGATGTTAAGATCTGGCTTCTTGGCTATTAATTTCTTCATGGTATTCGAACTGATGGATCCATTCAAGTGGGCATGAAGTTCCTAAAACAAGAGACTACAGTCAATAAAACTTACCCAATATCTGGCAGACTCACAGCATCATACCATGTACTTGATGTTTTTAGTTTGCACTAGGCAAACTGCCTATACATTTGAGCTATATAATTTGTGAAGTTTGTAAATCCTACTCATAAAATGTACTTTTCTTTTGTGAAAGAAACAACATAAGGCTGGGGATGTAGCTCAGTGGTAAAGCACTTATCTAACAGGCTCAAGGGCCGATCTCCAGTACTGCAAAAACAAGTAAACAAAAAAAACCATAAAGGCCATTATAATTAGCAACTCTTCAAGAATTTGGTAGTTGATGTCTCACCACTTTGGGCAATTTCGAGTAAAAGTCTGTCATCCATGGCTTCTGCTCTTCCACCTCCATCATGACTTTACCAGAGGAAAAAATGGTCCTTTTCCACTTTTACCTGTGGTTTGAATACCACAATGTATTTCAGTAAATTCTGTGTTCCTGGATTTTCTTCAGATTCCTTCCACACATTTTCATAAAACTGGTTGTATATACAGCTCTGCATTCATTCTCACCTATTTTAACAAATGTGAATATGTTCAGATGCTGACATACAAGCAGGAAAACAAAATGAAACAAAACCCCAGAATTTTGCTAATTTATTCTTTAATTTTAGGGGGGATGGTACTGGGGATTGAACATGGGGCATCTGCACCAAGCTACATCCCCGACCCTTTTTCTTTTGAGACATGGTCGTGCTCAAACTTATGACTCTTGCCTCAACCTCTAGAGCTCTGGAATTACAGGTTTGCACCTGCATGCCCAGCTTCCAAAGCTAACTTAAATGTGTCTGAGGTAGGGAAATGATTAGTAAGCAATATGAATAAAAAATAAGGAAAGGCCTCAAGCTCCTATGAGATGTATTAAGACCTGAAATTTGGTAGTGTATCCCTTGCCTATTAGCACTTTTTATAAACAAGTTTAAATACTAGACATTTTGTTAAGTCCTACTTTGGGTAAAAATATATTAAACTTACATTTTGACTAATTAGAATATATAAAGGAAGAGCAGAAACACCGAGTCATATGGACCTAGGTTTGCCCTTTTAACAGTTCTGCATTCCTGAGGCTTTGTGGCCTGAATCAGTTACCCTCATGGCTTCAGTCTCCTTGTTTGTAATAATGGGATAGAAATGCAGAGTAGCTATGAGATTAATAAAGTAATTGAAATTCTTCCATGTTCTCATATAATCCAGTGACAAACTTTAACTCCTCTAAGATTTTGAGAACACAGACTTTTGCTTATTCTATCACCTTGCTATCTAGCACAGTGCTGATACACTGCAGGTGATAAATCATTGCTTACTTCTCTTTACCTCTGAAATATTCCAAACAAAATTTAGTGATTTTTGAAGTAGCCACCGTGACCCTCTGGGTTTACACATATTAAAGCTGATGATGTTAAGAAGAATAGCAGTTTCTATGTATTCAAAAGCCACCAGATTTGTGGCAAACACATTTAATAATATTATCTTTAATTTTCATAATAACTTTAAAATATGATTACCACAACAAAATTAATAAATCATACTGAGCAGGGCTAAATAAGTTACCCAGATATAAAAATGTGCAATAAAGAAAACAGTTTAGCCAGGGATGATGGTGCACACCTGCAATCCTAGCTACTGGGGAGGCTGATGCAGGAGGATCACAAGTTCAAGCCCAGCCTAAGCAACTTAACAAGACCCTGTCTCAAAATTAAAAATAAAACAAAAATACAGGGCCAGGGATGAAGCTCAGTACTCCGTAGGTTCAATCTCCAGTAGTGCAGAAGTAAATAGCTTGTGCAGGACCAAACAGGAGATAGAACGCCACAGAAAAACCAAATCAGTATGAGATGAAAGTGACATTTCAATGTACTGCTAAAGTTAGTACTCCATAAAGAGTAACAAATGGAAAAGATGCACTATTTAATCAGTGATGTTTAATATCTCTACTGAAAAAGCATAAAAAACTTCACTAAAGTGGGAAAACAGACCTACCTTTACCATCATTTTTCTTCCCCACAGTTTTAGGGACTGAGCCTCAGTCCTTTACCAATGAGCTACATCCTCAGTCTTTTGTTTAAAATTTTGTGAGGCGGGTAGTTGCAGATATAGTTCAGTGGCACAGTGCCTGCTTGGCAAGTGCAAGGTCATGAGCTCGATTCCCAGTACCAAAATAAAATAAAATTTTGTGACAGGGTATCCCAGAGTTTCCCAGGCTGGCCTCAAATATGCAATACTCCTGCCTCAACTTCTCAAGTAGTAGGGATTACAGGCGCGTGTCATCATGCTTGGTAATCTATCACAAATTGATTTACAGGTTGAGCATCTCATAGCCTAAATGCTTGCAACCAGTAATGTTTCATATTTTGGAATATCTATATACAAATGAGATGTCTTGGGAATTGGAACCAAACCTAAGTATGAAATTCATCTGTTTCATATACACATTTTACATATGGCCTGAAAGAAAGGTATTTATTTATTTATCTTTTGAGACAAGGTCTTTGTATGTAGTCCAGGCTGGTCTTGAACTCACTGTGTAGGTCATGCTGGCTAGAACTCAAGATCCTTCTGCCTCAGCCTCCAAGTGTGGGGATTATAAGCATATGCCACCATGTCCAGCTTAGAAGCAATTGTATACAATATGTTAACAATTTTGTGCATGAAAAAAAGTTTCATAGTATGGAATTTTCCACTCACAGCATTATGTCGTGCTCAAAAAGTTTCAGATATTGGGCATTTCAAATTTCAGCCAGGTGTGGTGGTGCATGCTATAATCCTAGCACTCTGGGAAGTTGAGGCAGGCAAGTCACAAGTTCAAAGCTCACTCTGGGCAATTTAACAGCTTAGCAAGACCCTGACTCAAAGAGAAAAAAAGGGGGAGGGCTAGAGAAGTAACTCAGTGCAAAGGTCCTAGGTTAAGTCCCCAATTTCAAACATATGTACGCGCGCGCACACACACACACACACACACACACACACACAGATTTTCAGATTAAGAATGCTTAACCTATATAAAATAAATGTTAGACCGGGCATCATGGCACGTGCCTATAATCCCAGCACTTGGGAGGCTGAGGCAGGAGGATCATTGCAAGTTCAAGGCCAGCCTGGGCTACAAAGTGAGCTCAAAGCCAGCCTGAACTGCATAGTGAGACCCTGTCTCAAAAAAGACACAAAAACTAAATAAATAAATAAATAAAGTTTTAAGAAAAGGAAATATGGAGTGATGAACAAAGACAAGTCAAGCAAAATAAATATCAGACAA